GTTACGTAGGTGTTTCTTAATTTCTGGATTTATGAGATTTCATTTCTTATTCCTTTATTTCTAATCTGGTTGAATTGTGGGCATGGAATTTGGATTGTATGAAGATAAATTATTTGAAATTTGTTGAGATCTGCATTATGACCAAGTAGTGGTTAATTTTGAGACTGTGCCGTGTGCACTTTAAAATACATGCATTCTCTGGGGCGCCTGGGTGGCTCCGTCGGTTGAGCGGCCGACTTCGGCTCGGGTCACGATCTCGCGGTCCGGGAGTTCGAGCCCCGCGTTGGGCTCTGTGCCGGCAGCACGGAGCCTGGAGCCTGTTTCAGATTCTGTGTTCTCCCTCTCTCTCTGATCCTTCCCCGTTCATGCTCTGTCTTTCCCTGTCTCAAAAAACAAATAAACGTTAAAAAAAATTAAAAAAAAAAAAAAGAATGCCTGCTGGTTGTTGGGGCACCTGGGTGACTCAGTCAGGTAAGCATCCGACTTCAGCTCAGGTCACGATCTCGCGGTCCGTGAGTTCGAGCCCCGCGTCGGGCTCTGTGCTGACCGCTCAGAGCCTGGAGCCTGTTTCGGATTCTGTGTCTCCCTCTTTCTCTGACCCTCCCCTGTTCATGCTCTGTCTCTCTCTGTCTCAAAAATAAAAAATAAAAAAATGTTAAAAAAAATTTTTTTAAATACATGCATTCTCGGGGCGCCTGGGTAGCTCAGTCGGTTAAGCGTCTGACTTCGGCTCAGGTCATGATCTCACGGTTCGTGGGTCTGTGCTGACAGCTCAGGACCCCGGAGCCTGCTTCGGATTCTGTGTCTCCCTCTCTGTCTGCCCCTCCCCTGCTTATGCTCTGTCTCTCTCTCCAAAATAAACATTAAAAAATTTTACTAAAAAAAATACATGCATTCTCCATTTCTTGAGTTGTACACAGTGTATTTGTTAGGTCATAGTTTTAAATTAGATTAGTAAAATCTGTATCCTTGCTAGTTTTGTTTTTGTTTTGTTTGGTGCCAGAGAGGGTTGGCCTGATTAACTGAATTTGTCACAGTGTTTCATTATCATGCTATATTTAGTTGTTACTCCCTATGATTCTGTCAGTTTTGAATTGTGTATTTTGTATCACATATTTTGAAGTCATGTTGTAGGTGGAAGTTCAGAACTGTTTCATTTTTCTGGTGAAATGAACCTTAATCATTATATAGTGAACTTCTCTAGATCTAGTGACTCTTTCTGCCTTACTGCCTATTTTTCTGATATAAATATAGCTATAATATCTTCATTTTGCTTAATAGTTGTCTGGTATATCTTTTTCCTAGCTTTTACTGCATCCTTTTGGTATCCTTTTGTTTTAGATATGTGTCTTTTAAGTAAGATCTACCTGGATTTCTCTCCACCCCCCAGTTTTTCTATCTTTGTCTTTGTAGAGAATTTAGTCTACTTGCAGTGACTATAATTATTCATATGTTTTGGGTTATTTCTGCCACCTTATGTTGTGGTTACCATAGAAATTTTAAGATGTATGCTTAACTTACCAAAGTGTCAATTTAACCGATTTTAATCTTCCTGCAGAAAATACAAGGATCTTAATTTAATTTTGATCATCCCCCTCCTGACCTGTGTGCTGTTGTTATAGAGTCTGGTTCCACCTCACTTTTAATCCCCCAAGAAATAATTACTGCTTTATGTAGTTAGTGTTCATTTAGATTTACACATATTCATTACTTCTGCTAGTTATTCTTTCTTGTATCTTAGACCTGTCATCTTGGGATAGTATTCCTTCTTTTTTAAGTCCTTGTGGAGTACATTTCATTTGTCTATTGATTTTATTTGCCTGAAATGTCTGTATCTTGCCTTCATTTTTTGAAACACATTTTTGCTAGGTATAGGATTCTAAGTTGACAGCACATAGAACATTGGAGATGTTATACTGTTGTTTTAGGGGTGTGTGTGCGCGTGTGTGCACAGGCATGTGTGCTATAAGGAAGTTCATACTTACTCTCATTTTAAGTAATCTGTCTCTGGCTGCTGTTAGGATCTCCTTTTTATCTTTGGTGTTCTACAGTTTCACTGTGTTGAAGGGGTGTGTGTACATATGCATGTGTACACTTGTATATGTTCATATATATGAACGTATGCGTTAGAATTTGTGGAACTCTGTGAAACTGTAGATCAGTGTCTGCAAAACTCTCTGTCATTATATTCCCCGTTCTCTCTCTTCTTCCAGACTCCTGATGAGTGTTATGTCAGATTTACCATTCTACCGTCTCTACTGTTTAACCTGTCCTCATTTTTTCCATCTCTATCCCTTGATAATTTGTTCAGATCCACCTAAATAAAAGGTGGGTACTATTTGGGAAAGGGAAGGAGGGATTGAATATTATATGGGCAGCCTACTGAAGTCAACCACAGTTATCCTTTGTTTATTTTTTTTTTTTGGTGTTTTAAATCCCCGTTTTGTGTAAACACAGAGTTGTGTTTTGCTTCTGATATTTTGAAAGGTTCATGCATTATTCCAGTTCTTCTAGACTTACGACATAGAATATATTTTAACCTTTATTTTGTTATCTATGCACTTTAGGTATCATCCGTTGACTCCATGTTGTGAAATGAAGAAATTAGAACATGATTCATGCATTTACATTCTTAACTGGTACTTCATACTCCCAGATTTTTATGGCATGTATTATAATTTTAGTTCTTCTTGTGGGTATCTTTATACTTTTAAGTAATACAGTTCGACTTCTCTTATTTATCAGCTTTAAGTAGTGTCTGTTGACCTGTGTATTTGAAAGATGAAGAACACTCATGCTTCCTATATTCCACTTACTTTCTCTTCTCCCCCTCTTGATTGTTTTCAGTACTTATGCTATTTTTCCTGTACAAAAGCGTTCGGTTCTGTAATCACATGTCCAATAGTTGTTTTGACCTAAACTCTATACTTGAGTGAGTTTAACGCTCTTACCTCTGTTTTCTTTATTGCCATATTTTTGCCTTCATCTCTGTGCAAAAACTATTGCATGCATTTTACAAGAAAGGTCCGTGGACGATATCTTTACTGAATTCTGCACGTGTGAAAATGTCAGCTTCGTACTTACATGAAAACTTGGCTCTGATAAGATTCTCAAGCCAACTCTTTTCTCCTGAGTAAATGTTCTGGCATTCGAATGTTGCTGTGGACAAGTGTGAGGCTGACTTGATTTTTTCACTTGTCTTCTAGGAAAAAAGAAGAACTCATTTGATTGTTTTTACCAGCTCATTTTGATTTTGTTTCAGAGTGAGATTGAACAACTTTCCTCTTTCTTTTTCAAATGTTTGGTGGTGATGGTGATAGCATGAAAGTATAAGCCACTCCACAGTTAAAGTAGCTGTTGGGACTGATGTCTCCTCTCTAGTAGCGGCTGGCAAATGATGGCCTGTTGATTGAATCTGGCCTGCCCCCTGTTTTTCTGTGTCTACAAGCTGAGAATGGTTTTTGTAAAGGAATAATGCAAGCAGTTTGATGACAGGTAACACCAACTTTGAATCCCAGTCACATAAAATGTTGTCCTTCTCAAAAGAATTCTATTTTCTTCATTAAAAGGTTTGTATCGGGGTGCCTGGGTGGCTCAGTTGGTTGAGCATCTGACTTGTGATTTTGGCTTGGGTCATGATTCCAGGGTCGTGGAATGAGTTTAATGCTCTTACCTTTGTTTTCTTTATTGCCGTATTTTGTACGGCAATATCCCCTCCCTTCGAGTCCTGCATTGGGCTCAGCGCTGAGCAAGGAGTCTGCTTGGGATTCTCTCTCTCTCCCTCTGCCCCTCTCCTCTGCTCGTGCTCGCTTGCTCTCTCAAAAAAAAAAAAAGGCTTGTATTAAAAACACTTATACTCAACTATTTTTGTACATTGAATTTCATCAATAAAACATTTGTGGAAATTTGTTTTATCTTTTGTTGTGTGACGAATACATAAGTAACATCTTTGATTTTTGCCTTCTGGTCCACAAGCCTAAAATGCCCTTTGGCCTTTTAGAAAAATTTTGCCGACCTCTATTCTGTTGCAAATCCAGAATGGGTTTGATTCAGGGATGCTTTTGAATCTAGTGGGAGTCTCCCTTGGATTCGTCTCCTTGTCTCAAGTGTGGGCCCCAAATTTGTAGCCTTCAGTTCCTGGTTGCAGTAAATGATCTTTCTGTGGCCGTTCCTGGTACTCTTTGGGTCTGATTTCCACACTCTGAGTCTCATCACCAGATAGACCTGTCCCGTGTTGATACTGCTGTTGTTGGCTTCATAGCTAGTGTAGAACTCTCTATCCTTTCTATTCCAGTAAGAACTACTCTTGCCTCTGGCCTATTGCAGTCATAGTTGATTTGTCTGATGCTGAGTCACATGACAATTAAAGCTTTTTCCACCCTACGTGGATTCTAGGCTAACATCTTGCCTTACCTTAGTTACAGTATACTTCCACGCCTGGGCAGAACATCATCCTTTTTTGGAAGATTTCTGATCTTGTTAGATTTCCCTCAGGAATCAGAAAACGAGCCTTTCTTTTTCTTATTTCAAAACCCGCTCCCTTTTGTTCTGTCTGAAGAATGCTGGTGGTGTATGGATATGGCCTTCTAGTACTTAGTGAATATGGTGAACGAGTTTAATAGCTTCGGCCACTGGTGAGGTTGACTACCCTAAGTTCTTTCTGATGATTCTTCCTGAGGGGAGGCTCTTAAACCTTATAATTACCTTTAGTATGGAGTTGAAGGTAAATTGGAATTATATGTACACAAACCCGTCTTTGTAAGAAGGAAAAAGCTGCCATAGAGGAAGTTGGAGAATACCGAGACTGCCCTGAGAGGGATAGCTAGCCTCATGAAGGGTCAGGAAATTCTGCGATTCGGAGGAAATACTTGAAGGTCATGGAGATGTTAAATTAAGCCTAGTGGGAGGATGGGAACCACATATGCAGGTTTGAAACTGGTAGTCATAGCTGTGAAAGCATCCTTTATGTTTAAAAGATAACATGAATGTATATTTTGCAGCCTGTTATTTCAGAGTCCTGTTTAGAAAAAAAAATATCGAAAATATACCCATTGACGTGATGACAGATGACGACATGAACGGGGAGAAAAGCAACACAAAAGCAAGGTAAAATAAGATATAATCAAGTTAAAATCTCAACACTGCATGCTAGCGGTAAGCCCTTCTGACAGCGAAAAATGCCAAGTGTCCTGGGAGGAGTCCTGGGAGGATCGGATGATGGTGCCGGCCTTTATGACGGAGTGGTCCTTAGGCGTGGTGCCGGCAGGACGGGCGGATTCACGCCGGCTCCTCGCTCCTTCCCCAGCCCCATCCTGGACGTGCCGAAAAGTGAGAGAGGAGTTGATGGAAATGAGAAAGTGACCAAAAACTGGAAAGCCCCGGGAAGGCCACAGGTGGTTAGTCGTTGGTGTCGATGGTGGATAGAAAACAACAACTCCGAGCGGAAGAGGCAGCGCAGGGAGAGTGGAGAGGAGGTTGCAGGGACCCTGTGCTTTCCTTTTTCACATTCCTCTCGGATCAGCATCCACTCGGGAAGAAAATAAGGAAACGCCGATGGGCTCAGGGTCTCCTTCCTGAAATGCCACTGAGCTGGTAGGAGGAGACTACAAAGGAACGAACCCACAAAGGGCGGAGGGAGGAGACAAGAGCATGTGGGAGACACCGGAGTAGTTCTGGGAGACCAGAGACACGGTCTCTACGGACTCCACAGAGAGGACACAGCACGCCCCAGGCGGCGGCAGGCGAAGCCCGGAAGCAGCCGCTTCACCCCTGCGTCTCTCCCCGCCCCTCCTCTTCCCTCCCCTCGGTGAGCATGCTGGGGCTGAGGGGGCAGTGGCAGTGAGAGCAGGAGCTTGGGAGTTTGTAGAAGCAGCAGGTAGAAGGCAGGTGCCCTTCCTTCACCCCGTTTGGCCAGGAGAGTGTTTCTTCCTTCATTCCGATAGGAGAGTTCCGGGATGTGGGGTCAGCAGACCCAGCTGAGGGTAGATTACTGTCCCCGGGTCAGAGGCGACTTTGGTATTCTTCCTCCGCTTGCCTCTGAGAACACTCACAGCCAAAGGTAAGAAAAGTGTCCTCTGGGAAACTGACCAGCCGACAGGAAAGATCTACACCTAATGCCAGCGGGGAAAACCTCCGATTATCCCACAGTGAAATCTGCCATTTGACAGCATGACAGAGCATGAAGAGTGGCCCCACAGCTTGATCTCGGTGAGGATTCTTAAACACGAATGGGTGACCCGTGACCATGGGAGGGAAGTTTATAGCTTGATAGAAACTCAAATCACAGAAGCCTATCATGGATCGTCAGGTGACCGAGGAAACAGCAGGGGGAGAATTAAAAATGAGGAACACTTGGAGGAAAAAGATCTTTTGGAAATTAAATATATAATAGCAGAAGTAAAGCTGAGGAAGTTCTCCAGAAAGAAGAATGAAAAGGTAGAGAGAAAATTGGGGAGTAGGAGGGGGAGGAAGATGGCGGCGTAGGAGGACGCTGGGCTCACCGCGCGTCCTGCTGATCACTTAGATTCCACCTACACCTGCCTAACTAACCCAGAAAACCGCCAGAGGATTAGCAGAATGGAGTCTCCAGAGCCAAGTGCAGACGAGAGGCCCACGGAAGAGGGTAGGAAGGGAGGCGAGGCGGTGCGCGCTCCACGGACTGGCGGGAGGGACCCGGGGCGGAGGGGCGGCCCGCCGGCCAAGTAGAGCCCCCGAGTCTGGCGGCAAAAGGGGAGGGGCCGGACGGAGTGTCTTCCGACAGCAAGCGGGACTTAAGATCTGGAAGGTTATAAGTTAACAGCTCTGCTCGGAGAGCGGGAGGGCTGGAGGACAATGGGAGGGAGAGTTGTTGAGCCCCAGGACGACAGAGCTCAGTTTGGCGGGGAACAAAGGCGCTCGCCAGCGCCATCTCCCTCGCCCATCCCCCAGCCAAAATCCCAAAGGGAACCTGTTCCCAACAGGGAACTTGCCTGCACCGCACAAACACCCAACACTGTGCTTCTGCGGATCCATCCCTCCGGAGGGTCTGACTCCCTCCCGGTGCCGCAGGGCCCCTCCCAAAGCAGGAAGGAAAAGCGAGCTGAGCCTGCCCCTCCCACCCGCGTGCACCTTGCCGATCCACCCCAGCTAATACTACGCCAGATCCCCAGCACCACAAGCCTGGCAGTGTGCAAGTAGCACAGACGGGCCACGCCACCCCACAGTGAATCCCACCCCTAGGAGAGGGGAAGAGAAGGTACACACCGGTCTGACTGTGGCCCCAGCGGTGGGCTGGGGGCAGACATCAGGTCTGATTGCGGCCCCGCCCACCAATGCAAGTTATTCAAGACAGCACAGGGGAAGTGCCCCTCAGTCCCACACCACTCCAGGGACTATCCAAAATACAAAACGGAAGAATTCCCCTCAAAGGAAACTCCAGGAAGTAGCGACAGCTAACGAACTGATCAAATACGATTTAAACAATATAACAGAAAGGGAATTTAAAATAATAGTCATAAAATTAATCGCTGGGCTTGAAAACAGTATAGAGGACAGCAGAGACTCTATTGCTACAGAGATCAAGGGACTAAGGAACAGCCAGGAGGAGCTAAAAATGCTGTAAATGAGCTGCAGAATAAAATGGAGGTGACCACAGCTTGGGTTGAAGAGGCAGAGGAGAGAATAGGTGAACTAGAAGATAAAATTATGGAAAAAGAGGAAGCTGAGAAAAAGATAAAAAAATCCAGGAGTATGAGGGGAAAATTAGAGAACTAAGTGATGCACTAAAGAGAAATAATCTACACATAATTGGTATTCCAGAGGAGGAAGAGAGAGGGAAAGGTGCTGAAGGTGTACTTGAAGAAATCATAGCTGAGAACTTCCCTGATCTGGGGAAGGAAAAAGGCATTGAAATCCAAGAGGCACACAGAACTCCCTTCAGACGTAACTTGAATAGATCTTCTGCACGACATATCATAGTGAAACTGGCAAAATACAAGGATAAAGAGAAAATTCTGAAAGCAGCTAGGGATAGACGTGCTCTAACATATAAAGGGAGACTGATAAGACTCGTGACGGATCTCTCTACTGAAACTTGGCAGGCCAGAAAGGAATGGCAGAAAATCTTCAATGTGATGAACAAAAAAAAATATATGCAGCCAAGAATCCTTTATCCAGCAAATCTGTCATTTAGAATAGAAGGAGAGATAAAGGTCTTCCCAAACAAACAAAAACTGAAGGAATTTATCACCACTAAACCAGCCCTACAAGAGATCCTAAGGGGGACCCTGTGAGACAAAGTACCAGAGACATCACTACAAGCATAAAACATACATCACAATGACTCTAAACCCATATCTTTCTGTAGTAACACTGAATATAAATGGACTAAATGTGCCAACCCAAAGATATAGGGTATCAGAATGGATAAAGAAACAAGACCCATCTATTTGCTGTCTACAAGAGACTCATTTTAGACATGAGGATACCTTCAGATTGAAAGTGAGGGGATGGAGAACTATTTATCATGCTACTGGAAGTCAAAAGAAAGCTGGAGTAGCCATACTTATATCAGACAAACTAGACTTTAAATTAAAGGCTGTAACAAGAGATGAAGAAGGGCATTATATAATAATTACAGGGTCTATCCATCAAGAAGAACTAACAATTATAAATGTCTATGCGCCGAATATGGGAGCCCCAAATATATAAACAATTACTCACAAACATAAGCAACCTTATTAACAAGAATGCGGTAATTGCAGGGGACTTTAGATCATTTAGACACACGGTCAATAAAGAAACAAGGGCCCTGAATGATACATTGGATCCGATGGACTTGACAGATATATTTAGAACTCTGCATCCCAAAGCAACAGAATATACTTTCTTCTCGAGTGCACGTGGAACATTCTCCAAGATAGATCACATACTGGATCACAAAACAGCCCTTCATAAGTATACAAGAATTGAGATCATACCATGCATACTTTCAGACCACAATGCTATGAAGCTTGAAATCAACCACAGGAAAAAGTTTGGAAAACCTCCAAAAGCATGGAGGTTAAAGAACACCCTACTAAAGAATGAATGGGTCAACCAGGCAATTAGAGAAGAAATTAAAAAATATATGGAAACAAACAAATGAAAATACAACAATCCAAACACTTTGGGATGCAGTGAAGGCAGTCCTGGGAGGAAAATACATTGCAATCCAGGCCTATCTCAAGAAACAAGAAAAATCCCAAATACAAAATCTAACAGCACACCTAAAGGAAATAGAAGCAGAACAGCAAAGGCAGCCTAAACCCAGCAGAAGAAGATAAATAATAAAGATCAGAGCAGAAATAAACAATATAGAATCTAAAAAAACTGTAGAGCAGATCAATGAAACCAAGAGTTGGTTTTTTGAAAAAAGAAGCAAGATTGATAAACCTCTAGCCAGGCTTCTCAAAAAGAAAAGGGACATGACCCAAATAGATAAAATCATGAATGAAACTGGAATTATTACAACCAATCCCTCAGAAATAAATACAAGCAATTATCAGGGAATACTATGAACAATTATATGCCAACAAATGGGACAACCTGGAAGAAATGGACAAATTCCTAACACCCACACACTTCCAAAACTCAAACAGGAGGAAATAGAAAGCTTGAACAGACCCATAACCAGCGAAAAAATTGGATCGGTTATCAAAAATCTCCCAATAAATAAGAGCCCAGGACCAGATGGCTTCCCTGGGGAATTCTGCCAGACATTTAAAGCAGAGATAATACCTGTCCTTCTCAAGCTATTCCAAAAAATAGGGAAGGAAAGCTTCCAGACTCATTCTATGAAGCCAGTATTACTTTGATTCCTAAACCAGACAGAGACCCAGTAAAAAAAGAGAACTACAGGCCAATATCCCTGATGAATATGGATGCAAAAATTCTCAATGAGATACTAGCAAATCAAATTCAACAGCATATAAAAAGAATTATTCACCACGATCAAGTGGGATTCATTCCTGGGATGCAGGGCTGGTTCCACATTCACAAATCAGTCAATGTGATACATCACATTAATAAAAGAAAAGATAAGAACTGTATGATCCTGTCAATCGATGCAGAAAAAGCATTTGACAAAATTCAGCATCCTTTCTTAATAACAACCCTCGAGAAAGTCAGGATAGAAGGAACATGCTTAAACATCATAAAAGCCATTTATGAAAAGCCCACAGCTAACATCATCCTCAACGGGGGAAAAACTGAGAGCTTTTTCCCTGAGATCAGGAACACGACAGGGATGTCCACTCTCACCGCTGTTGTTTAACATAGTGTTGGAAGTGCTAGCATCAGCAATCAGACAACAAAAGGACATCACAGGCATCAAAATTGGCAAAGATGAAGTCCAGCTTTCACTTTTTGCAGATGACATGATATTATACATGGAAAATCCGATAGACTCCACCAAAAGTCTGCTAGAACTGATAACATGAATTCAGCAAAGCCACAGGATACAAAATCAATGTACAGAAATCAGTTGCATTCTTATACACTAATAATGAAGCAACAGAAAGACAAATAAAGAAACTGATCCCATTCACAATTGCACCAAGAGGCATAAAATACCTAGGAATAAATCTAACCAAAGATGTAAAAGATCTGTATGCTGAAAACTGTAGAAAGCTTATGAAGGAAATTGAAGAAGATACAAAGAAATGGAAAAACATTCCGTGCTCATGGGTTGGAAGAATAAATATTGTCAAAATGTCAATACTACCCAAAGCTATCTACACATTCAATGCAACCCCAATCAAAATTGCACCAGCATTCTTCTCGAAGCTAGAACAAGCCATCCTAAAATTCATATGGAACCACAAAAGGCCCCGAATAGCCAAAGTAATTTTGAAGAAGACCAAAGCAGGAGGCATCACAATCCCAGACTTTAGCCTCTACTACAAAGCTGTCATCATCAAGACAGCATGGTATTGGCACAAAAACAGACACACAGACCAATGGAATAGAATAGAAACCCCAGAACTAGACCCACAAATGTATGGCCAACTCATCTTTGACAAAGCGGGAAAGAATATCCAATGGAAAAAACACAGTCTCTTTAAGAAATGGTGCTGGGAGAACTGGACAGCAACATGCAGGAGAATGAAACTAGACCACTTTCTTACACCATTCACAAAAATAAACTCAAAATGGATAAAGGGCCTGAATGTGAGACAGGAAACCATCCAAACCCTAGAGGAGAAAGCAGGAAAAGACCTCTCTGACCTCAGCCGCAGCAGTTTCTTACTTGACACATCCCCAAAGGCAAGGGAATTAAAAGCAAAAACGAACTGTTGGGACCTCATGAAGATAAAAAGCTTCTGAACAGCAAAGGACACAATCAACAAAACTAAAAGGCAACCAATGGAATGGGAAAAGATATTTGCAAATGACCTATCAGACAAAGGGCTAGCATCCAAAACCTATAAAGAGCTCACCAAACTCCACACCCGAAAAACAAATAACCCAGTGAAGAAATGGGCAGAAAACATGAATAGACACTTCTCTAAAGAAGACATCCAGATGGCCAACAGACACATCTGGGGGGGGGGGGGGCGGGGGGGCCTAGGTGGGTACTGGAAGATCTGCAGAGAAGATGAGTAAATTAACTGTTCAATAGCAGTTAGTCTGAAACACGATATCAAATTTTTAGGAAAGGTATGAACAAAATAGGCTCAATAGGTAATAGGGAAGATGAACTTTTTATCCACTAAAATTGTCGCATTGGTAGTTATGAATCATGACTGAACCCCCCCCCACCCCGACCACACATATCAGGCTCAGGCAGATTCCCAGAGTTTCTGAGTTTCTAACAGGTTTACGGGTTCTAACATAAATTCAAGAAAAAATAAGTCTAGTCTTTCACAGCTTCTTCCACAGAACAGAAAAAGAGAAGATAGTCCCTAAATTGAGTTAGGACATAATCTTCCTAGTCAGTTTCATTCACAACCTGAGAAGTAAAAAACCCTAAATGCGTTATAGGTTACAGGTTACTTAACCTGTAACCTACAGGTTATAGCAGCTTGTAAAAGTGGATGATACACCAAGATCAAATTGAGTATCTCATCTCAGAAGTGCAAGGTTAGTTGAACATTAGAAAATGCATCGATACCAATTACCATTAATAGATCAAAGGAAGAAAAGCATTTGATAAAATGCGTGCATTGTCTGTTAATGATAAAAACTGTTAGCAAACTACACGATTAGGGGCATTTACCAAAAATCTGAAGCAAATATTTTTAATGGTCAAGAGCTAAAAGTGTTCCTTGTAAGTTGAGAAAATTGACAAGGATATTTGCTATTGCCACTTCTATGTTGACATCCTATAAAAGGTCCTAGGGCAGTAAGACAAGAAAAAAAGGACAAAAGGAGATGAAAGCTGAAAGGTTTAAAAAAGGAGAAACCTAATCATTTATAAATGATGTCTAGAAAAAAGTAGAAAAGAATTTACAAAGTTTCATAATTAATAAGTGAATTTAATTTAGCAAGACTGCTAGATTAAAATCAGTTTATGTAAGTAAATTTCATTCCAGCGATAGATTGAAAATGTAAATAAATCATAACTACCATTTGTAATTGTAATGAAAAATCCAGTACCTGGAAAAAATCATTTTTGAAATTACATGTTTGACCTTAATGGAGAAAATTACAAAATATAATTGAGAATGCAACACAATTTGTATAGAAAAGCAAAGGGCCACAAGTGTGTCAGCACTCGTCAAGAAAAAGAAAGTTGGGAGTCTTACCCTACAGCTGCCACAACTCTAGCAATTAAAGCACTGGGATACAGAAACAAGGAGAAACCAATACAAATAAAGAAACAGGTGGATAACGGTATATACAGTCTGAGTAACACGGACTTGTTGTTACAGGTCAGGGAAGGGAAGGACGGGGGTGTTCGATAATGGTGCTGTGGCATCACAGATCCTTATGGGAGTGTGGGGGGGAGGGAGGGCCCGCCCCCGCCCCACACATCGTACCCAAAACTCGGGGATTTAAGAACCAACATATGATGTATAAGACTTGTAAAAGGCAAAACTTTAAAACTGTTAGGAAATAGTACAAGAATTTTGTCAAGATTGGAGTAAGGGCAGATTTCTTAAGAATAAACACAAATCATAAAGACAAAGATAGATAAATTAGCTTATATTAAAGTGAAGAACTTACATTTGTGAAGATTTCATCAAGGAAGTGAGAGGACCAAACCAGAAGACATCTTCAGCACATATAAAATGGCAGAAGGTTACTATCCAAAGTGCACGAAGAACTAAGCGTTATTAAGAAAGTGGTATGCGATTCAGTATAAAAAACGGACAGAGGGTATGGACTGACATTTCAATGAAGAGGAAACTGTTCAAGGAGTTTTTAAACTAAGGGGACTCAAAACACTCAAGGAAGATTTAACACCTAAGGAAAGTATCCGTGAGCAAGTACAGAGAGGTCGTGCTCTGTCTTTGCGAGGAACTTCTCTTCTTGTTACCCTACTGGTGGTTACTGTTTCCCACCGAGCAGTATGTGAGGATCTACAGAACCCTGAATTTCCCCCGCCTCGTAAAAACACGGTCTGTGGTGTAAGTCAGTTGTAGGCAGTGATTGTGGATTCGGTTCTTATGAAAAGGCTTTCCAGCATTTACAAACAGGCACTTGGCTAATGTATTGTGAAAAGATTTTGGTTTGAATCTCAATAAGTGTGGTTGTGGGTGATTGTTTTATAAAGAAGGGTACTGAATTCCAGGAAACTGTATTCTGACCTCACTCTGCCGCTAATCGGGTAACAGTTCTTCATCTTTTAGGTTAGGTGAGGATTCTTAAGTCCTTTCCAGCATTAAAATTTCAACAATAATACCAGATCTCTTTTGCATTTAACTAGATAGCCTCTCCTTGTTCAGATCTACGTTTTAGAGGGTCTATCAAAAATTGTTTGAAAGGATAGGTGTTATATTGTATAGTATAAAGATTTAAGCGTCAAGTCCTAGAGAACGTCGACCACGCCATCTGACTTTCTTTGTCACATCAGGCTTCGGAAATACGAGGAACAGGAGTATGGAGACGACACATCATCAGAGACTCAACCAGCTAAAGCAGCAGCAAAGGAAACCTTAAAATATAAAACACTTGAAACGTTTTCTGGAGCCTTGAAGTCAGGACAGACAGAAGAAATCTATCAAGATTACTATCCAGGCATGTCAATTTATGTTTTCTTTTACGGAGATGGGAAGAAATTTCAATAGCGTAAACTGAGAAAACAAGTAATGTACACTGAAATACTAGTTCACTTTCAAAATACGAGGTTTGGTACTTGATGGGTTTCATTAGTCTTGGCAGTTGGTAGTATCTTCAGATAGAGAGCTTGCCTCTTAAAGGGGACATAATCTAAATGCTGTCACCGTAATCAAAATAACAACAGTGATCTCGCTGCCACCACCGAGAAAATCTGACGTTTCTGTAACTTTGGGGGTTTTTGTGAGGCAAGGACTCTAAAGTGGGCTCAGCATTCCCTGAAGGCCCCCGTACCTCTGGTTGTGCCGTGACCTCCTTTGTCGCTCTTGTCTGTGGGGGCCCTGATTACTCCCCCACACGCCTCCGTCGGTTCAGTCTTTCTGCTGGTCTCAAATTCTGCCATTAACCATATGTAAAATAAATTAAAAATTTTTTAATTTTTCAACTTTTATTTTGAGAGAGAGACCGAGACCGAGGGCGAGAGGGGGAGGAGCAGAGACAGAGGGAGACACAGAATCTGAAGCAGGTTCCCGGCTCCACGCTGTCAGCACGGAGCCTGACGCGGGGCTCGAATGCACGAACGATCACGACCTGAGCCGGAGTCAGGAGTCGGACGCTTCACCGACTGACCCCCTGGGCACCCTGTCCACAGCTCTTTTATGTCCTCACCTTATGAAGGTTGCTCTTTGGTCTCCATCCGTGGCCCCCTTCTCCCTCCAGCAGCCTCTGTGATACCAGTATCCTCTGCCCTTCCCGCTTCTCTGCTCCCGGGTTGTCCAGACTTCAGCGCTACTCAGCTTCATTGCCGGTTTTCCCTGCTTTCCCTCTCGGACTGGTAAGCCTTTTTGCAGGACGCTCTCGCACCCTTGTCTGTGTGGGTTCTGTTCCCTGAGCCATGGTCCCCAGCATCCGTGGGGCGCTCCGCACCACCTGGTGCCAGCCCGCCTGCTTTTAGCTTTGCCTCTCGTTGCCCACGGCGTCTGTTTACCCTGTTGCGGTTCAACCTCAAGCCTCTCTTACTTGTTTATGCTTCCTGCTTTATGAAAACGAAAAATTAAAATCGAGGTAATCGCATGGAGACATCTAACTTGCACCTCCCCGGCCCCATGTTGGTACTTGTCTTGCTCCGAGAGTGCCTGGGCCTTATAGCTCAGTGTCCGCGGGGCTGGCAGAGCTTCCGCTCCAGCGGAGTGAAAAGTAGAAGAGCTGTGACCCTTCCGTCAGTTTCCTCAGTAAACAGGGGGCAGAAATACAAGGCTGGATAGGAATAGAGGGGCCAGGCAAAGTAACGGCTTGTTGGCTGTGTTAAGGATTCGGGTCATTATCTTGCAAAGACAAAAGCCATGGCAAGGGTCTAAACAAAGAGCTGACATCAGATTTCTACTTTGAAAAGATCACTCTGGCTGCAGATTGAAGAATAGACTGGAGGGGAATAAGAATTGGTACAGGGAGCCTTTGGATGTTCTTTTTTTTTTTTTCAATTTTTTTTTTATTTTTAGAGAGAGAGAGAGCACACAAGCAGGGGAGGGGCAGAGGGAGAGAGAATGAGAGAGAGAGAGAGAATATCTTAAGCAGGCTCCATGCTCAGGACAGAACCTGACACGGGGCTCGATCCCACAACCCTGGCATCATGACCTGAGCTGAAGTCAAGAGTCGCACGCTCAAGCGACTGAGCCACCCGGGCGCCCCGAGGCTTTGGCTGTTCTGAAGGTAGGATTATCAGTCAGGGTGGTGGGTTGGTGAGAGAGAGGTGGTGTCAAAGGTGAGAGCTAGGTTTCTGGCTTGTCTGATAGAACGAATAGTGGTGCTGTTCTCTGAGACAGGGAGCCCTGAAGAAGGGTCGGTCTGTGGGGGCTGGGAGCAGATTGTGATTTCAATTTGGGACACGTGGAATTTGAACTACCTTTGGTACACTCCGGGAGATGTCAAGCAAGCAACCGAATATGTGTCTGGGGCTCAGAGAAGCCAGGGCAGAGACGACGTACTTGGAGTAGTTATGTGGGTGGCAACTTAAGCCGTGGACGCGGTGAGATTCCCGAAGGAGAGAGTAGGAAGTGAGACGGAAGAGGGACCGAAGAGCTGTAGCAGCGACGACCCGGGTAAAGGAGGGTGGCTGTAGTGGACGCGTGGGGACGGTCAGAGCCAGGCTACATAGAGTGATGAGCGAGAGGATGAGTACGTGGTGTCACAGAAGCCAGAGGAAAACACTACCAGGAACGAAGGAGTGGGTCCCGGTTCAAGACGGCTGATGTAGAAGGATCCTGAACTCCCCTCTTCCTGCACGCACACCAAGTATACAGCTACGTCTGTGACCGTTTCCACCGGAAAACACCCCAAAACTAGCTCATCAGCTGCACATTGGGGAATGAAGGGAAAAGTCCCATGAAAATGGGTAGGAGAGACTGAGGCACAGTCTCACCGTAATCCCCGCCCACGGCCCCGTAGCCCACATCCAGGAGGGGACTCACAGTCCTGAGCCTCTCCCTGAGCCACACTGGGCACCCCAAGTTTTAAGGCCTATCCCTGAGAGATGAGCCCTGCAGACAGCTAGCTTTGAAGTCCAGGGCTTTGATCCAGGACACCTACAAGGCTACAGGGAACTGAGAAACAGTTCTTAAAGGACTTAGCGGTCACCCTCCCCAGGGCCTAGCGCACAGGCAGGCGAGCGAATGACTAAAATGTTCCCAGCCTTTCAGTGAACGAGGCCTATCAGATTATCCTAAAGCTCAGCTCTGAGAGTCAGGCTTCTGACATCCAGGGCCCTATTGAAATGCTGTCCAAAAAGGGAGACTGGCAGGTGCCATCCTTCCCCTCTCCCTGTGCCTTGCTCCAGAGCCCCAGCATCTCCAAGAAAGGAGCACGTACGCTCACTTGGCGCCCTGAGTTTCATGGCTGCTGCCCTGGGGGAACCTCTAGATGGCCTGACCGGTGGCCAGAGGGGCTTACACTGCAGGTCCCATAGAACTGTTATAAAGGTGGAGTTCTTACCTGGCTCCACCCAGGGCCCAGCACAGACTCAGCAGACTGGAAGAGACCCCCAGTCCTTCTGAGAAAGGGGTCTGTTGTCTTGTCCTGAAGCTTCAGCCTACAGGGCAGGCTTCTTTGGTGAACATATGAGGGCCCACTGAGATACCCTCGGGGGACAGAGCCCAGTGGGCACATCTGGTGGGGGGTGCTCTCCTCTATCCCACTCTGGGTCACTGGACTCTCCTGGGGCGGGGAGCTGGCGCACTAGTCTGGCACCCTGAGTTTTTTTGTCTGCCACCCAGGAGACCCCTTTTGACCTCCTGGGCCTGGTGACCATGGGGCTTGCACATGTGAGTCCTGCTGAACTGCTACAAATGGAGAAATAGCTCTTACGGGCCACCTGTCCCACAGACCAGAGAGCGTAGTGAGGTGCATCCACAGTCTGTCAGAATAATCTAGTGTAAAGGGGGGGGGGGGTGGGTTAATCACTTATATGCAGAATACTTATGAAGGTTAAGAGATTAAAGTAGCAAAAAGAACTATGACCACGAATTGTTGTTAATGAATACACAGGATAAAAAAGTAAATTGTGAACATCAAAGACATAAAAATGTGGGATGGAGGAGAAAAGTGTAGAATTTTAGAATGCATTCAAACCTAAGTTGCCATCAACTTAAATAGATTGTTATAAGTTGTTTTATGTAAGCCTCATGGTAAGCACAAGGCAAAAACCTACGGTAGATACACAAAAGATAGACAGGAATGTAAGAATACACTATAGAAAACCATGAGATCACAAAGGAAGAGGGCAAGAGAAGAAGGAACAAAGGTATTGCAAAACAACCAGAAAACAGTTAACAAAATGGCATTAAGTCCATTCCTATCGTTAATTACTTCAACTACAAATGCACTAATTCTCCAAACAACAACTACAGAGTGGCCAAATGGATAAGAACCAAGACCCGTCTATATGCTGCCTACGGGAGACTCACTTCAGTTGCACAAACACACACAGACTGAAATGAAAGGATAGAAAAAGATACTCCATGTGAATGGAAACCAGAAGAAAGCAAGCTGGGGTAGTAATGGACTGTAATAAGAGACAGAGACGTCAATATATAATGGCAAAGGATTCAATACAGCAAGAGAATATAACGTTTGTAAATATGGACCCAACATAGGGGCACCTGAATAGAAATAGATAGCGAAACACTAATAGCAGGGGACTTTAACATTCTACTTATATCAGTGGTTAGATCATCCAGACCAAACAAACAAACAAACAAAAACAAAACCCACACTCCAAAACAATAAGGAAACCTTGGTCTTAACGTGTGAGACCAGATGGATTTAACAGATGTGTACTACACGTGTGTACATGGGACATGTGTGTACATGGGACAGACATTCTTCAGGATAGATCATACAGCAGGCCACAAAACAAGTCTCAATAACTATAAGAAGGTTGAAATCATATTAAGCATCTTACCTGTCACAATGGTAAAAAACAAAAAACTAGAAATAATTTACAAAAAGAAAACTGGAAAATACAGAAACATGTGGAGATTAAGCAGTGTGCTACTGAACAACTAAGGACCAAAGAAAAAATGAAGGAAAGAAATACCTTGGGACAAATGAAAATCTAAATACAGCATACCAGAGTTACAGGATACAGCAAAGTAGTTAGAAGAGGGAAGTTCATAGCAGTACAGGCCTACTTCAATTAAGTGAGAAAAATCTCAGTCTAACTTTACACTTGAAGTAGAAAAGAAAAGTCAGTAGAAGGAAGGAAATAATGAAGATCAGAGCAGAAATAAATGAAATGGAGACTAAAAAGACAATAGGAAAGATTAATGACACCAAGAGATGTTTCTTTGAAAGGATAAACAGTTGAAAGACCTTTAGGAAGAATCGTGCATGCACACACACACACACACACACACGAAGACTCAAGTGAAATGGGTGAAGGGGGTCAGACGTACAGACTCCAGTTATAAACAAGTTGTGGGGATGTGATGTTCAGCATGGTGACTGTTAATGATACTGTCTTGCAAGTTTGAAAGTTGCTAAGAGAGTAAATCTTCGAGGTTCTCATCACAAGAAAAGAAATTGTAACTGCGTGGTGATGAATGTTAGCTAGACTCTTTGTGGTGATCATCTTGCAATATGTACAAGTATCAAATCATCGTGTTGGGCACCCGAAGCCAACCTGATGTTATTTGTCAATTATAGCTTAAAAAGGAAGGAGAGGTTGAAAGTAACGATACTGGTGAGTAAAATGAGGGCTGAAAGTGTGCGTTGAAGTAGTAACCCTGAAGGGTCAGTCGCAGGAGTGCTGTGTGAGTGGAGGTCCAGAACCTGCCCAGAAGAGAGAAAGAAGTGGCAGAAGATGAAGAAACAGAATACTGATGACGTGCAACTCTTTCTAGAAGTTTGTGACGGAAGGCAAGATAGAGATGGTCAACTGGAGGGGAGTGTGGTCTAGGACGAGGTGATTCATGCTGGGAGCTGGACACAGAGGAAAAGAAGAATCGTTACTAGCGTAGGCATGCGGGGGTGGTGTGGGCAAAAGGCGGAAAGGATTGGTTTGGATGGGAAGAGAAACACACCCCCCTTATTTAAGTCAGAAGGGACAGGAGGGAAAGACGGGTGCAGGAGTGGGTTCGTTGGCTTGTGTAGTCGTGGCACGTTGAGAGAATTCCCGCCGGATGCCTGTGTGTTCCCTGGGAAGTGGGCATGAAGAGCAGGTGAGTAGAGAGCGGAAGGTGGAGGTTCAGAGGTTTGAGGTGCATGGAGGAATTCTAGCCACTGATGAACCAGAAGGGCAAGTCAGCCAGGCAGAGCGGGATTTCAGGTTGTGATTAATAAAGGTGACCTTCGGGAGTTACTCATCCCCTCGTTGTGGGCCTTTGTGTGATGGCACTGGGCTGCGGGACGGCAAGTCGAGCACGCAGAGTTGGGTTCGTCCAGGGCTGCTGCTCTGCCACGGAGATGAGATCAAAAGACGGTGAGGGTGCAGCGTGTTGGCGACATAATTTCAGCTGGATGGAGAGAAAGAGGAAAGAAAATAAACAGAGGGATGATGGATCGTCAGTGATGGGGCCGTGAACTGGAGGTGCCGGTGAAGGTTAAAAACGTGATGTTGGGAGCGTTAAGCGTGCAGGAAGGAGACAGGCAGGTGACGGCAGGTGCTGGGCTGTGATCGGGCTAGAGGTGAGGGTGTTCAGGGAGCGGGCCAGGGTGTTGTATCAGACGCCAGAAAGATGGCAGGTCTGTTTTGGGGAAACAGGCCCTCGCTGGAGCCTGGGCCCCAGATTCATTGGTGGACGTCCGTGAGCTGTGCAAGAGTAGGACATAGTGAGAAGGCATGAGTTTCGGGCGTAGGGTTTTGTTTAAGAGGGTGAGACGTAATGGTTCGGGAGTGGAAGTGGGAGCGGGGACGAGAACGAGCCCACTTTCCAGGCTTGAGGCACGCGGGGTGCAGGACTGTCACCGACCAGCGCTTGAGAGGGCTGCGTGTGCGTGACGTCTGGGAGATCACTGGGTTTCAGTTAAGGCACAGGAGTGTGAGAAACTCCCGGGCTCGATGTTGGGGAGAAGGGAAGGTTTCACGGCTCTTCCCCACAGACGTTCTCGTGGCCCCCTGGACGGTACTTGTGTTTTCTTACCTCTCTCCTCCCCAGCCCTGTCCCCGCCGCAGTGAAAGTCCTTACCCTCCTCGACATGTGATTCCTCCGGCCGGGTGGGTGTGTGGTCTCTGACTCTACAGATGGGATGTTCTCTGTCTGTCTGTCTGTCTGTCTGTCTCCTCTGACTTGGGCCTTGGGTGGAAACGGAACTTACCAGCTGTGTCGCTTGTACTCATTTTGTGTTGTGTGTAATTATCGTACCTTATTCCCTACTTAACCGGAGGCTCACCACACCACATACATTTTCATCATATCAAGGAGAAAATGTATAATTTGTTTGCTTTTGAAAAGTGCATTTTCAGTAATTTCTGCCTTCTTCATGCTGAGATCCCACCGGTCCGGTGAGTCATAGAAGGAATCTGGGAAATTGGCCAAATGTGACTTTTCTGCATTTGTATCTGTTTCTGGCCTTGTTACTAAACCGCAGTTAATAAAAAAAGCTTTTGTTGTAGATTTCACAGGAGCATTCGCATTTTAAAGGTTTATTGTAACAATAAAGTTAATACTGGTCTTTGTAAGCACTTACCATGCGCTTTAAACGTAGGAACGGCTTCAGCCTCTAACGCGCCTGCCGAGGTTCTCCCTGGAACAGTCCTCGTTTCCCAGGTGAGGAAAGGGAGGGGGACGGTTCCTCACAGAGTAAATCGCAGGACTGGGCAGGGAAGCTCGGAACGGCGCGTGGAGCTCGGGCCGTCTGACCCGGAGCCTGTGCTCTTAGAGACTGAAATTGCACTGTGATCTCCTGCGTGGCCTGGCACGTAGCGGGCCCGGCCATCGTGTATGGCGCGTGCTGGTTACTCAGTTAATGATGCTTTTGTTTTCAGAGTACCTTCAAGAAAGTAGAACTCTGCAGGAGCTTTCAAAGCCAGTTCCTCATAAGAAGAAAGAGGTATCAAAGGAAAAAAAGGGCCCAACTAACGCTTGTCCAAAAGTTAAGAAGAAAAGGCTTGCGTCGTATGATAGGACAGGTACGTAGCATCGCAGACCCGGCTTGTTTAGAAGACACTACGTTCTTTCAGATTATTTTGTGGTTTTATGTGCTTAAGTAGGACACTGATTTTAGAAGAAACAGTCTTACTGAATTCGGGTTGCTTAGAATTGTTGGGTTTTTTTAAATCCTTGAAAACCTAAAATATCAATAGATCAAAAAATTGACAGATGGTTCACTGACTATGTTCTTAATTAGGAGCAATCCCTGAAGGTTATGGTTAGAGAAGTGTGAAGAAAATGAAGTTGTGTGGTGTTGTCTTCAACTTTCAGTAAAATTTTATAGTATCATTATATTTAATAATTTTGTGTCTTCGTCTGACACAGAGGTTAAGTCCCCAAATAAGTAATTCATTGAAACTGAATTTCTTACTGACATTCTCCAGTTTGTACTTTCTCTATGCCTCCAATTCTGATTTGTATTAATATTTTCAGTTTGACAGGAAAAGGAAACTTTTCTATGTTTTACTGACATACCACGGTCCAGGGCAGATTAATCGTAAAGCTATTGAAGCTTAAATTTCCGGGCCTGACATAAACAGGCTTCATTCTTTTATTTTTTTTTTATTATTTATTTTTTAATGTTTATTTATTTTTGAGAGACAGAGACACAGAGCATGAGCAGGGGAGGAGCAGAGAGAGGGGGAGACACAGAATCCGAAGCAGGCTCCAGGCTCTGAGCTGTCAGCACAGAGCCCGACAAGGGGCTCGAACCCATGAACTGCAAGATCGATTGTGACCTGAGCTGAAGTCAGACACTTAACCGACTGAGCCACCCAGGCGCCCACTGTGTGGGTGTGGGGGTTCCTGCTTCCGCAGTCCCCTCCCTGCGAGTGCAGGCAGGACCCCAGCGGGATGGAGCCTTGCTCCCACAAGTAGGTCATTCCGTGTGGCATTTCTGAGATGTAGTTAAGGCCCTTTTTCCTGGGCAAGCCCTCCCTATAAAAGAGACCTGGCCTGTAAAAGAGACCAGAGGCAGTAGTAGATGCCACACTGCCGTCACCGAAGGGGCAAATTGCCATGTTGTGGGCGGGGCCCCATCGCAAGTAGCTCACGAGAGTACCCCGCCAAGAGTCAGCAGCAAAATGGGGACCTCGGTCCTGCAGCCACAAGGAAACGAGTTCTGCCAACACCCGAGGGGAGCTTAGAGGCGGATGGCTTCCTAGCGTGTCTCGAGATGCGGGCCCGGTCAGCCGACACCTCTGTTTCAGCCCTGCAGACGCTGAGCCGAGATCCCTGACCCGGGAAACCGTGGGGCTCTGAAGGTGTGTCGTCTTAGACCCGGTTTGTGGTAACTTGTTACGCAGCAGTAGAAAGCAGGTACAGGGGTGACATGGTGCAGGTGTAGCGAAAGGCACTCCCCTTTTCTGCTGCCTGTTCTCTGGCCCCAGTTACAGTTCACGCCAGCAAACAGTTATTCTGAAACCCGTGACTCGTTTCCATTTACGGTTTTATGCATTTTCTCCATTTATATTCATCCATCATGGTGGTTTAAAAATTTGTCCACATCTGTTCTGACACCCCTTCCTTCAAAAGGTGGAGCCTTGCTCTTCTCCCTCTAAGTGAAGGCCAGACTCACAGCCTCCGTTCTAACCAAGTAGTATGGTGGAAGCGACAGTTGGCAGTTTGGCAAAGTACGGTGTGGTGGAAGGGACAGGGTGTGACCAGGCGTAGCGGTGCCTTCTGCTTTGTCCCTCTGCTCACTCTGTGGGGGACGCCAGTGTCACGTGGGACACTGCAGCCCTGCGGGGAGGTCCACGCAGTGAGAGAGCTGAGGCACCTGAGTGCGCTGTCCTGGAAAGTGATCCTCCCGCCCCAGAGCCTTCAGGTGACTGTCACCCTGGCCAACATTTTGATTGTGCCCTCATGGGAATCTGGGCTGGAACCACCTAGCTAAGCTCCTTCTGAATTCCTGACCCATAGAAATTGAGAGATGATCAACATTTCTTGTTTTAAACCTCTGAGTTTTAGGACAGTTACTTACACATCGGTGGATAACGAATACATCCATTAAATACATGCATTATTTTGTGCGTGGGAAGGTCACACAGAGAAGGATACATGCGGTACGATTCGGTTATATGAATAAACGCTAGGAAAAACTGACCTCTAATCTTAGAAATCAGCGAGCGGTACTTCTGTGGGAATGGGTCGAAGCGGGAATGGTAATAGGGCAGGGCTTCAGGGGGGACGTTAGGACGGCTGATGTCGCTTTCTTCCTGACTGCTGTGCACGAAGTCCTCTACCTGCGCGTGCCGTGTGTGCTTCTCCGTGGACGTCACGCTTCAGTGGAAGTGTTAAAGTCTATGCCTACGTGACGTTTTATTGTAACCTTTTGTAACCTGTCTTTTTGAGATGATTCTTGCTGACGTGTGCCTTTGGAATTTACTCTTTCGCTCTTTTTTGTGTGTGTAGAATGCCCTCTTTTCTCTTTTTGCCCGTCTTGAGCCTTAGGTTGACATGCATTCTGTGAATCTCTTAGAGCTCTCAGCGAGGCCCCTAGAGTGCAGCGGCGTCCCGCCTCGGAGCTCACGTAGCACTCAGTGGCAGTATGGCTGCTTGACGGCTTTTCATTATGACGACACGTTCACGTGGCGGGATAGTATCATCACTTACATCTTCAACTCTAAGGCAGCAGTTCCGTTTTAAACTTTTCAAAAGAAAAGTTTTATTTTCATTCTGAAGATAATGTAATTTTCCCCTTAAGATGCCAGAACTTTTCTTCGCCACTGTCTTCACTGTCGCTGCTGTTGAGGATTCTGTCCTGTGGTAGTGCCTCTTCAAGGCTGTGAGCTGAGAAGGCGAGGGAACTAGAAGTCAGCCTCCATGCTCGCTGGTGAGGTTTTATTGTGTCTAGAACAGAAGATGCTGTGCTGTGTCTACGTAGCACAGTTAATGTAGTCTTTATGTTGCTCTCTCCCTCTTTCTTTTTCTTGTTTCATGGTTTTTCTCTGGAAGGCTTTCTCTTGAAAGTTACAATTTCCTGATGTGACTTCTGGTACCTGTATTCTTTTTGTTTTTTTTTGTTTTTTTTTTTTGAGTTCCGTGATTATTTGTTTTGAGAGAAATGGAGAGAAGGCACGCACGTGCGCGAGCAGGGAAGGGGCAGAAAGAGAGGGGGAGAGACGGAATCCCAAGTAGGCTCCGTGCTGTCAGGGCAGAGCCCAACGTGAGGCTCAGTCTCACGAACTGTGAGATCATGACCTGAGCTGAAGTCAAGAGTCCGTCGCTCAACCGACTGAGCCGCCCAGGCGCCCCTGGTCCCCGGACTCGTGACTCACTGCGAAAGTGGGATGCAGGCTAATCTTCTATTTCTGACGTAAAGAATTGCTGTCTGGGATTGTACCGTGCACCCAGCATGCTAGGGTGGGGCCTCACACTCCAGTGTTAAGGTGTGTAACTACTGTCCGGTTTTAGTAAATACCTGTGATTTTCTGAATTAATCTGGCTTTCGACAGAAATTTCCCCCCGGCTTTTTGGAGGCTGTATGTTTTCCTTAAATTTACTATTGATTGTGAAAAGTCATTTTTTTAAAATTTGCCCTAAATCGCTTCCATTCCCCAACGGCCTCCATCAGTTCATTCAATCTGCCAGGTAGCCACCAAGAACGGACGGGTGCTTTTACAATATTGCGTAAAAGGAATACGCTGGGGGAAAAAAAAAAAAAGGAATACGCTGGTCAGCAGTTGATATTTTCTCATTTAATATTTTGCACGTCTGATGGGTGAGAATGATTTTTCATTATGATTTTAAATTGTGATTTCCTGAATACTAACTGGGTTAAACATTTTTTAGTATGTTTACTGGCTGTTTTTTTCCTATAAATTGTTCACCTTTGTATCAGAATGTTTATTTCTTACTGAAATATTTTATACGTTAATTAAACATATTATTTAAAATACGCTTTAAAATATTTTATACATTAATCCTTAGCTTCTTACATAGGTTATAAACATTTTCTTCTCACCTGTTAATTATGCTTTAACTTTATTGATGGTGGCTTTTTTGCACAGAAGTTGCTAAATTTGAAGAAGTCCAATTTATTATTTTTTTTAACATTCTTTTTCAGAAACATATTCTATATTTTCTTCTAATACTTCTATCATTTTCTTTTCCACATATACTTCTGTAATCCATGTGTAATTTACACTTGCATATAACTGCATAGTTTTCCAAGTGGCTAACCACTTTGCCATTGTGATTTGTGAACAGGTAATGATTCCTCTATTGATTTGAAATATCTTTTTCACTTACTAGATTGTCTTTTGTAAACGGTCCTATCTCTGGACTCTAATGGGTTCTCTGATCTATTTTCCTAGGTCACAACCATATCCTTTGATTTTGGTAGGTAGGTGTTTCTGTACCCTCGTCTGTATTCCTTACGTCTTGGTTCCTTGTGCCAGTCTCTGTTTGTACTAATATTAACTAGCTGTCTTGTCAGTTAAGAATTTTAAGTTTCTTTCTGTGTCTCAGCAACGGATAGGGCCCGGATGAGGCTGAGGCCAAGGGCACAAGGTTTAAAGAGGAACCGACTCTTGGGGTTTTGCAGTACCTTACCCTCATTCTGTCCTGATGCTGTTTTACATAACAGTTCAAGTCTCCCTTAATCCCTAGCAGAGACCCTGTTTCGATCAGCTGGTGTTTGTTGTTTCTACATGACCAGAAATCTTTTTTTTAAATATATTTTTTAAATGTTTTGAGAGAGAGAGAGCACAAGCTGGGGAAGGACAGAGAGAGAGAGAGAGAGGGAGACACAGAATCCAAAGCAGGCTCCAGGCTCTGAGCTGTCAGCACAGAGCCTGATGTGGGGCTCGAGCCCATGAAGTGTGAGATCATGACCCGAGTCGAAGTTGGCTGCTTAACCAACTGAGCCACCCAAGCATCCCTAGAGGACCAGAAATCTTTAAAAAAAATTTTTTTTAATGTTTATTTCTTTACATTTAAAAGAGAGAGACAGAGCAAGAGCAGGTGAAGGACATAGAGAGGGAGACACAGAATCTGAAGCAACTCCAGGCTCTGAGCTGTCAGCACAGAGCCCGACGTGGGGCTTGAACTCACAAACCACGAGATCATGACCTGAGCTGAAGTCGGACGCTTACCCGACTGAGCCACCCAGGGGCCGCGAGAGGACCAGAAATCTTGAACAACTTCATAGCATTGCCGGTTTTGCCAGCATGGTGTTGGGACTGCTTCCCTTCCCATGATGTATCAAGAAAAGCTTAAGGGCTAAGAGGGACAACCTGTAGGCATGGCAGATACAAACCAAGCAACAGGAACGTTTCCAGAAGGAGAGAATCTTTAGCCGCTAAGAGATCAAGAAAAAAAAGGTCTGAAAGGTGTCTGTGGGATGAGTATCTTTAGGAAGCATATTCCCACCGTGGGTGGTCATCACTTCTTTCCCAGCCCAGCATAGGCTTCTGCTAAGAAAACCTTCTAACTGGCGCCTGTTCCGGTGTCTTCTCGCGCCACCAACCGTGTGATTGCAGAATTAGGGCTTCTGCGATACCTTTCTTAGGGGGAAAAATATTATTCCTTCTTTCCAGCTTATGTTAAAAGTAAATTTTAAGCTATTTTTTCTCTTCCAATTATAGAGCCTTTGTGTAAACTTTTAAGTTCCCATTAAAATGTTTTCTCCGTTTAGAAATATTTGGAGTAGTATACATTATCCTTAAGTGATGCCCATATTCACACTTGTATTAGATTTTTTTTTTTTTTTAATGTTGTAAACCAGAACCGGAGGATGATGATGTGACAAGACATATTATAAGGCTACGAGAAAAGTTTGGCTGGCAAACAATGTTACCGCAGGGCTGTTTGGAGTACAAAAGTTCCAAAATTGCAGTTCAGAAGATTATTCTAAAGGTATTACTCTGTTTTATTCAGTTTTGTGCTATAAAAGTTGTTAATTTGAAAGTGTATCTTAATCTTTATTTCATTCACTGCACATATTACATCAAAATTAAATATCCCATTAACATCAAATTAACAATCATGATTTCATAGTACATGCTTATAAAAGTGTTGGATGTAAAAAAAAAAAAAACAAAAAACCCAAAACAATCAAAAACTGAAAGTGTGGGGCATCATTTCATTTCACTTATTCCAAGAACGGAGAAACAGATACGACATGTGTCCGAAATTTGAATCTATTCTTATGTTCCTGTTTATCAGTTATTTTGCGATTTTAGAAAAAATCCTAACGTGTGTTTGTAGCATGTATCTGCACCCTTACTGCTCGTGCCCCATTTTCTGTCTCATTATCTGTGTATGTCCTTATCCGTTCCTGTTCGGGGAAGTTCTAGCGTGTCCGGGGTCACGTGACCGGGGAGTCCAGGCAGCGACAAGCACTGGTAACTCTGCCTCCTGTGACCTCCTTCATTACAGAAGACGAAAGACTGGGCAGGACCCTCTCGTCCTACTCCGGAGACCCAGGGCGCTCAAATGGCAGGCCCCAGGCCAGCAGCATCAGTGTCCCCTGGAGCTTTTTAGCAATCCACAGTCCCCTCTCTAGCCCCCACTTGTGAGTCAGAGACTCTGGGGGTGGAGCCCAGCGATCCGCGTTTTATGAAGCTGCCCCAGGCGATTCTGACGCACAATTGAGAACGGTGTTTCTAGACCAGGGGCCGACTTCCCTTTTTCCGAAAAACGCCACATGGTAAATATTTTAGGCTGTGAGGGCCCCCTGACCTCTGTCGTAACCACTCAGGTCTGTCATCGTGGTGCGGGAGCAACAAGTGGGTGTGGCTGTGTTCCAGGGGGTCTTCATTTACTGAAACAGGCGCGTGAGCCCGGCCGTGGTTTGCTGGCCCTGCTCTAGGCTGTCACCAGGAGGACGAGTGCTCTTTTGATCGTTGTCGGAGGCAGCGTTAACGTAAAGGCAAGCACCACGCATGATGGAATCGGAGTCTCCCGGGTGTGAGGCTCTATCTGTACGCTCCCGGCGTTATTTTGGGCAAGTTCCTGGCCTCTCTGAGCGTCAGCTTCTTTGATGTTGAAGCGGAAATAATAGTACTTAACGTTAGGGAGCTGTGGCCAGGAAATGAGGCAATGCGCGTGGCGTGTGCCTGGCAGATGGTGGGCGCCGTGGTTTCACAAAGCTGTCCGTGAGCTGGATGCCCCTGGACTCACTGACAAGGTGTGTTTCGCGTGTATGTGAAGAGAGGATTGAGAATGTGACACAAATACTTGTTTTTAATCGAAAGACAATATTTAATTGGAACATACTGTGCTTCTTGTACGTGGATGATTTAGTTACATACACGACCCATTGGGAGAGTCGTGTCTGCGTTAAGGTTCTAACACCCTTAACTTTCTGAAAGATAATTAGAACAGAAATGCCTCGAGTGGCCCAGTACCTGGAGCACAGCCGCCACCGTGCAGGTCGCCACCCAGAGCTGAGTTATTAACGTTGACTCGCGGTTTGTAGACTTGTTTCTTAAGGTTTCCAGGGATGCATTGTGTCCGGTCAGAACAAGAAAGGGGAACGGTTGAGACATTGAGAAGGAACACGAAGGGTCTTAAGGGAAGATGGTTTTTTAAGAAGTAAAACTGGATCCAGAATTTTAAATTCCAGTAATTAGAAACTGTTTACTCAGTTCAATAGCTTCTGAAGGCATCACTGAATTATAATTTTTTTAATAATAAATTTTAATTATCCAGGAATGACTAACTTGAACTTTCTTGTAGAGGGTTCATAGTGAAAGTTAAAAATGTTCAAAGCTAGAAGAAAGAAATTTCACTTAGAATTTTTTCTTAATGTGGAATGGCTGATTTCTCAATAATGCCAGGTAAAAAAGAAGCAGGCGTTAGGGTATATTGCAGTGTGTCGGAGTGTGGGTTTGGTCAGACACATGCTCACATCTTAGCCTGCCCCTGCCTGTCTTTGTGACTCTTCTCAAATGACCTAATTTCTCAAACTAGTAATTTCTGCATCTATTTAACGATCATCGTCCATGGTTAATTTAAAAAATTCAAGCAATTAAATTCTCGTGGTTATTAATATAACATATATGAAAGTTATTACTTATTAAATATTTATTATTTACCTAACAAATTATTTACCTAACAAATATTAGCTACTGTTACTCTAATACTAAGCCACCGTCATTAACAAAATAAATGATTAATGTGCTCAAAAGGCTTCCGGTGTCGGAAGATTGACTGAAGGTGGAGCGTGTTGTAAAATGTATGTTGCCAAGTTCTTTGTGTGAATAAGCACGCATGAGTGAGCACATAGATCAGTTTTCGTGAATGTTTTTTCACCACGCTGTAAGAATGAAAATTATATATTTTAAATCTTTCATAAGATTGATCTTGTTGAACTTCGGTTGGACACAATTTGATGTTAACTTTCCTCAGGGATATTATTCTTAATTTTCATCTAAAATCGTTTCAGTTTATTGAGTAACCTGTTCAGCCATTTTACTACTTAGTTTGATCAAGTTAATTAAAATTTTTTTAACCTCAGGAACCTTTAAAAGATGATGGAGAATTTGTATATTGCCTTTCTCGGAAAAATCATAAAGGTGTCTATAATCCGTATGACCTCCAGGTGGTCTCTGCTCACAGAGCTAGACATGGCAAAGAATTCTGGATTATTACAGCATCATCTGTCTCCAAGGTAACAGAGGGCGGGCGTGCTCAGCTTGGAGAGTCATAATGGAAAAATATTATTCAATTTAGAATATCTCTGTGTGTTTCAGACAAACCTGGCCATTTGAGAAGTAGCTTATGTTTCAGATCCTCTTTGGGAGAAAGCTTTTTAATGGCGAGGTTCCTTTTCTTTTTTCTAGAGATTTAGGTTTGGGGATTCAATTTTATCTCAAATACCTTAAGTGTGTGTGTGTGTGTGTGTGTGTGTGTGTGTGTGTGTGTGTAAAGAAAACTAGACTACAGGGATTTGCTGACATCATAGGAATTATAATAATAAAAGAAAAAACTGTTTTCTCAGGTTGGTCAGAAAGTTCATTGCCAGAGGTAGAGACCTCACTCCCCCAATACACTCAAATAGCGCTTTGATACTGATCACAAGTTGTGATCATACAACTTGTTACTTGTTTGGGCCGTTTGTTTAGTGTCTGTGGCGCCAGCCTCCCGGCTACACTGTAAGCACGTGTGGGCGGGGCCACATCCAAAGGAAACAAATCTGTAGGTGCACGTGTGGGGATGCCCCGTGTGTATTATCAACTGAAAATGGAAAGCACGACTTCTATATAAACAAAAGTATGCACGTAAATACGTATGTGGTGATATAGGCATACTTTTATTCCTAGAAGACATTTAAGAAAAGGCTACCATTCACATGGGGGAGAGGGGTTCTTTGAGGAAAGAAAGTCCTGTGGTTCTTGAATGTCAAAATGGGGTGTCTTGGCAATGGGATTATTAGCCCCTCTGGAACCACTCTACCCCTGTAGTTAAAATTGAGCTCATAAATACTACCTGTATAGAAAATGTGAGAATTTTGACACTGAAAAGAACAGGCATCTGTGAAAAGTATGTCAAGGTGAGGAAGTTTCTCGCATTCTTTCTCTGTCGGAGCACAAGAAATAGCATTAGAAAAATGGCGAGAATGGAAGCCGTGTGGGACGGGACACCAAGTTTGGGCAGAGACGGAGTGGTGGAGGCCGTGTACAGAGCAGGCCTCATTATCGAGGCAAGTAGTTATGAGGCAAACCCAGGGTTGCCTAAGTCCTTGAAAATTGTGCATATTTGTTTTAAGAAAATAAAGTCATGCTTTTGTGCTCTGTGTTTACAGGTTACTAACGTAGGTGGCGTAGAAGAAGTAGACTCTGTACCGACTGTGGAATGGCTTTTAGAAAGAACGTGTTACCATTTATTGCAGCAGTTCAGGATATTTTCCGAGTTTCGGTGAGATGAAAGAAAACGCAGCCAATTATTTGCAGTACGGTCCTGTTGAAACAGAAACCGCTCGGCTGACATGTGGGTTCTGCCGCCCGGTGCCATCTTTGTGGGGAGTTACAGAGGAAACGGGGTACTCCATACGGGTGTTTTAGGCTAGATGCAGGTGCAGGAAGAGCCTGAACTTCCTCCCTCCCACAGACACAACACACCTACATGTGGAATAATTTCCTCTGGAAAAGTCCTGGAAACAGAGGACAGAGGCCGCATGGAGACGGGTGGAAGAGACAGAGACATGCTCTCACCAAACAGCCTATCCCCAGTACGGCAGCCACAATCAGGAGAGATCTCAAAAATGTGGGGACTCTCCCTGAGGAGTAGGGGATGTTTCACACATCGGGCACCTCAGTTGTTGGGTTCTGCGCCGGAGAGATGAGCTGCCAAAATGTAAAACAATGGGGATTGTGTCCAGGAAAACCATAAAACTGGGGAACAGAGAACCTGCCCGTAAAGGGTTTGCACGCACACTCAACTCACCCTGGGACCCAGAGCAAAAGCTGCACTTTGAGAAGCATCTAGGCCATGCCGAAAGGAGACTGACCCCCTTATTCCTGAAGTGAATTGCAGAGAAGCAGGATCTTCCTGGGACAGGTGTCATTTTGCAATCCTGTTGTACTTTGCTAACGCCAGTGTTGGCATTAGCCATTTTGGCAATCTTCCTGTAACCTGGGCATGCCCCATCACTCCATGCCACAGCCGCACCACAGCCAGCTGGGCAGGCGTCCTGTCCTCCCCTGGCCAAAACTGCAGCCACCTTGCCAGATGAGTGCCATGCCTCTCGGTGCCACAGCCCCGGCCTCCCCATAGCCAGCAGGTGCGAGTAGCCCACACCCGGGACCACCCTGGAGTACCTGGCACTGGTGGCCAGATGGGATTGTGCTTCTCGGCCTCAGGGGTCATCTACACAAGGCCACTTCTTCAAGACTGGGAGAGGTAGCTGTTTTGCCTCATATATAGAAAAAAAACAAAACAAAACACAGAAAATCAGGCAAGATGAGACAGAGGAGTTCTCTTCCAAATGAAAGAACAAGACAAAACCTCAGAAAAAGACCTTAATGAAATGGCAACGTCAGTAAATTACCTGACGGAGAGTTCAAAGCAGTGGTCATAAAGATGCCTCCCGAGCTTGGGAGAAGAATGGATGAGCGCAGTGAGAACTGCAACAGAGAGATGGAAAACTTAAGAGACTACCAAATGGAAGTCGGAGAGCTGAAGCAGAACAAATAACTGAAGTATACACTAAAGGGGTTCACCAGCAGACTGGGCGAATCAGAAGAGGTCAGAGAGTGAACCAGAGGACAAAGCAATGGGACTCACCCAGACAGAGCAGCCAAAATGAGAGAGATGTTTTAAAAAATGAAGACAACTTAGGTGACCCGTGGGACAATTTCAAGCAAAGTAACATTCACGTTATAGGAGCCGCAGAAGGAGAGAAAAGGGGGAGAAGAACTTACCCGAAGAAATAATGGCTGAAAATTTCCTTAATCTGGCAGAGGAAACAGACCTCCACACCCAGGAATCCCAGAGAGTGCCAAATAAGAATCCACAGGGTTTCACCCCAAGATAGAATTAAAATGTCAAAAGTTAAAGGTAGAGAATCTTAAAAGCAGCAAGAGAGAAACAACTTGTTTACACACAAGGTAAACCCAGGAGGCTATCAGCAGGTTTCTTAGCAGAAACTTTGCAAGGCAGAAGGGAGCGGCAGGACATATTCAAAGTACAAAAAAATTGCAACCGATAATACTGTACCCGGCCACTCAGAATTGAAGGAGAGAGAGAGTTTTCATATAACAAAAGCTAAAGGACATCATTACCACCCAACCAGCCTTGCAAGAAGTTCTAAAGGGACTTCTTTAAGCTAAGAAGAAATGGCACTAATTAATGACAAGAAAACATATGAAAGTGAAAATCTCAGTGGAAAAAGGTAAGTATATAGTGAAGGTAGTAAATCGTTTATAAAACTAATATGAAATTCAAAAGACCAACATAGTCAAATTAACTAAAACTACAATAATTAGTTAAGTAATACATAAAAAGTTGTAAAATGTGACAAAAAACCTAAAACATTAACAGAGGGGGATGAAAATGTAGAATTTTGGAATGTATTCACATTTAAGTTGCTCTGAACTTAAAACACATCATCATATACGTACGATGTTGTATCTGAACCTCATGATAACCACAAAAACTTTCAATGAATACACAAAATGAGAAAGGAATCTCAACACTAAAGAAAGTTATCAGATATTAGGGGAAGAGAGAAGGGAAGAATAAAAGAACAGAAACTATAAAAACAGCTAGAAAACAATAACAAAGGGCAGTAAGTACATACCTATTAAAATTAAATGTAAATGAACTAAATTCTCCAATCAAACGATGTAGAGTGACTGAATGGGCTTCTAAAAAAAAAAAGTCTCCTCCATATGCTGCTGAGAAGAGACTCACTTCAAAAGTAACGGCACACAGACTGAAAGTGAAGGTATGAAAAACTATATTTTATGCAAATGGAAATGAAAAGAAGGCTATGGTAGCTTATATTCACACAAAATAGACTTCAAGACTTATAGAAAATAAAGTAGGGCATTAAATAGATAATGATAAAGGGGTCAATCCAGCAAGAGGACATAATATTTATAAATGTATATGAACTCAACATAATGTTTAATGAACCCACCAAAATGTTTAAAGGAAATATCAACAGACATAAAGGGAGAAAGAGACAGCGATCCAATAATAGGAGGGGACTTTAACATCCCACTTTTGTTAATAATTACATCATTCATACAGAAAGTCTGTAAGGAAACATTGGCCTCAAATGACACATTAGACCAGATGGACTTAAGAGATCTATATAGAACATTACATTCAAAAGCAGAATAATATGTTTCATCTTGAGTGCACACGGCACACTCTTCAGGGTAAATAACATGCTAGGCCACAAAAACATCTCAGTAAATTTAGCGAGATTGAAATCATCAAACATCTTTTCAACCATGATGGTGTAGAACTGGAAATCAGCTACGAGAAGAAAATTGGAAAAACCACAAAAATGTGGAGATTAAACAACATGCTACTGAAATGAAGGGACCTTTGAAGGAAAAAAAGGAGAAATTAAAAAAAAAAATACCTAGAGACAAATGAAAACATAAATAGGACATATCAAAAATCTACAGGATGCAGCGAAAGCAGTTACGAGAGAGAAGTTCATAACAATACAGGCCTACGTTAAGAAGAAAAATCCCAAACAGCCTAACTTTAAACCTAAAGAATTGGAAAAGAAGAGCAAATGAAACCCAAAGTTAGTGTAAGGAAGGAAATAATGAAGATCAGAGTGGAAATAAGTAAAATAGAGACTAAAAAGACAACAGAAAAGATCAATGAAACCAAGAGCTCGTTCCACAAAAAGATGAAATTGGTGACTAATGAAGAAAAAGAGAACTCAAAATCAGAAGAAGTTATAACTGACACCATAGAAATATGAAGAATCATAACAGAGACAACAGTCACACACAGGCAAACTGGACAACCTACAAGAAATGGATAAATTCCTAGAAACATATAACCTAGCAAGGCTGAATCATGAAAAGGTAGAAAATTTAAAGAGACCAATTACTAGTAAGGAGATTAAATAATAATCCAAAACTTCCCAACAAAGTCCAGGATCAGAATTCACTGGTGAATTGTACTAAACGTTCAAAGAATATTTAATACCTATTATTCTTAAACTCTTCAAAAAAAAAAAAAATGGAAGAGGAATGACAGCTTCCAAAGTCATTTTATTAGGCCATCAGTTATCCTGATATCAAAACCAGAGGATACCACAAAAATAAAGGGCCAATATCCCTTACGAACATACATGCAAAAATCCTCAACAAAATATTGACAAATCAAATTAGAAAATACGTTAGAAGGATCATACATCATGGTCAAGTGGCATTGATTTCAGGAATGGAGAGGTTCAACATCTGTAAAACAATGTGACATACTGTGATACACCACATTAAAAAAAAATGAAAGATAAAAGTTGTATCATCTCAGTAGATGCAGAAAAAGCATTTGACATAAGTCAACATTCATTTATGATAAGAACTCTCAACAAAGTGCATATGGAGGGAATGTACCTCAACACAGTACAAGCCATATATGACAAACCCACAGCTAAAATAATATTCCAACTTTGAAAAGCTAAAAGCTTTTACTCTAAGGTCAGGATCAAGACAAGGGTGACTACATTTCTTAGCATAGAATTGGAAGTCAGCCACGGAAGTTAGGCAAGAAAAAAATAAAAGGCATCCAAATTGGAAAGGAAGAATTAAACTGTTATTATTTACACATGACATTATACTATGTATGGAAGAACAAAGCTGTAGATATTGCAATCTCAGATTTCAAGATCCACTACAAAGCTGTAGTGATCAAACAGTATGGTACTGGCACAAAAATAAACATGTAGATCAAAGGAACAGAATAGCGAGCCTAGGAGTAAACCCACGATTATATGGCCAATTAATCTTCCACAAAGGAGGCAAGAATATGCCACGGGAAAAAGTCTGTTTCACAAATGGTGTTGGGAAAGCTGGACCACTTGCTTACACCACACACAAAAGTAAACTCAAAATGGGTTAAAGACTTGAAAGTAAGAACTGAATGCATGAAACACCCAACAGAAAGTGGGTGGTAAACTCCTTGACGTCATTCTTGGAGATGTTTTCTTAGATCTGACTTAAGGCAAAGGCAGCAGAAGGGAAAGTAAACAAATGGGATGGCATCTAACGGAAAAGCTTGTGAGCAGTGAAGGAAGCCATCAATAGAACGGAAAGGCCAACTACTGACTGGGATAAGATGTTTGTAAATCATATATAATGAGTGAATATCCAAAAAAAAAGCAAAAAAGGAATTCATACAACTCGGTAACAAAAACAATCCAATTCATAAATGGGCAGAGGATATGAAGAGGCATTTTTCCAGGACCTGCATCCAAGTGGCCAACAGACACATGAAAAGATGCTTAACATCATTAATCAGGGAAATGCAGGTCAAAACCACAATAGGATATTACCTGCTACATGTCAGGATGACTATCATTAAAAAAAGAAATCACAAGAATTGATGGGGATGTGGAGAAAAGGGGCCCTCACTCATTGCTTGTGGGAATGTAAACTGGTGCGGCCACTATGGAAAACAGGATGGAGATTCCTGAAAAAAATTAAAATTAGGACTACCGAACAATCGAGCAGTTCCACTTCTGGGTATCCTAAGAAAATGAAAAGACTACTTTGAAAAGATAATGCACTCCTTTGTTTCTGGTGGCTCTATTTGCAGTAGCTAAGACATAGAAACAACCAAAGGGCTCACTGGTAGAGATGAATGGATAAAGAAAAGGTGGTACCTATATACAACAGAACAGTACTCAGCCAGAAAAAAAAAAAAAAAAGAAATCTTGCCATTTTGCATCAACACGGATGGGACCCTAAAGTATTCTGCTAAGGGAAGTAAGACAGAGAAAGAACTATACCACATCATTTCACGTATATGTGGAACCTAAAAACCGAAACAAAACCAAGACTCATAGATACAGAGCGCAGAGTTGTGTCTTGCCAGAGGGGAGAGGTGCCGGGTGGGGGATGAAATGAGTGAAGAGAAGTTACAGACTTCCCGTTATGAAATAAGTCACAGTGATGGAATGTACAGCCTATGGAATACAGTCGCGAGTGCTGTATTAACCATATGGTCACAGATGATAACTACATTTATTGTAGGCATCAGTTCACAGGGTCTACAGTGTCAAATTACTGTGTTGTACACCTGAAACTAATATAATACTGTATGTCAATTATACTGCGATACAGTTTTCTTTAGGTAAAGGAAGCTTACCCATTTAGGTATGAAAACGCCCATCTTTTTGGATAAATATTGTAAGAAAAAGATTTTTTTATGGTCAGATTGAAGTTAACTATAATGACTTTAATTTACCGTGTATTTTTCATGCATTGATTCATTAAATGAGTATTTATTGAGAGTTTGCAAAAACCACGCATTGTTCTGGATGCTGGAGAGACTCTGTTGAACAAAACAATTGTCTTGCTCTCAAATGTCTTGTAGTGGGTAAGAGGTAAAAACATAAATACGTGGAATATCAGGGGCAGAAGGAATGTTATAGAGGAAAATAGATCAGAATTAGGGGGCTGGGGCGGCTTGGTTCCAGGTCATCACTTAATAACTCATCCAGTTCAGAGTGACACGGCAGGACAAGGACACCAGGGTTTCTGCGAGTCCGATCCTTCACACAGCGGTCCCAGATTTGTTCTCCTAGTGTTTGTACCTGGTTTTTTTCTTTCCTTTTGTTTCGTGTGTAGTTGACAACTGATGTCACATTAGTTTCAGGCGTCCGTACATTGTGCTGGGCACCACGCCGCACCCGTCCCCGAACAGAACCGTGCTGTTACCATAATTTTTTTGTTTCTAGTGTATGTATTTCCTTGTGGTCTGCTGCTACCTGGTGGAGACTAGGAGAAGAGATGTCATATCTTAAATGGTTACATTTGATATCAAATAGTTGGAATAACTAAGAACCTAAGGAAGTTGACTTTTATAAGAGAAGTGAGTGGATTTTGTAGCAGAGAAGTTACTCACTTACAAAACAAGTATTGTGTACTTTTGCTCCACCGTTCTGGGCACTGGAGGTATCATCGTGTAAAAAAACGTACAATGTCTGTGTTCCTGTAGAACTTCATTCTCATGGAGGGAGATAGATAACAAGTAAATAAATAAGATTATTTCAGCTGGTGATAGGGGCCAGAAAGATAATAAAGCAGAGATGTGTGGTTGCTACTTTAAGTAGGACGGCCAGAGAGGTGCTCTTTAAGCGGAGGCCTCATTGGTGAGAAGGACACGTCCACAGGGGGTCTTGAGGGAATAGTTTAGACAGAGCACACAGCAAGGTCAGAAGTTGGGAGGCAGGATCAAGGTCGGTGTGTACCCAGAGGTAGAGATGGTACCGCTGACGCCGAAGTGTCGGAGAGGTTGGTCGGCAACGACGCGGGCTCTGGCTGTCTGTCCGAACCTGAGTCGCATGCCGTGTAGGTGACTGAGAGAGAGTTCTGAGAAGTTCGTCTGCAAGAAAATAGATGATCGTCGCATCCCTGTGAATTAGGTGCCAGTGTAAACTGTCATCGTTGGGCTTTCCGCCGTCATCCTTGCCTTGTAACACATCCTTGGGGTTCGCTCCATTCTAGGTAATTTCAATTGATTAAGCTTTTGAAGCGTAGTTGGAACTGGGATGAGTCATCTTATAGGACATTTAGCATCAGTAAGTCCGTGGTCAAAATGATTCATTTTTTTAAAATTCATGTTAAGCAAAGTAGAAGTTAACGTTTACGCAGATTAAAACCTATAAATTCATTTGATTTAAAAATTTTATTTTTAACATTTTGTAAAGTTTTTTTTTTTTATGACTAATAATTGTAACAACATATCAAGCAGAGAAAAGGTGAATGTGAAGGGTTAGTGGCTCACAGAGGCGATGTGCTGTGTCCGGTGCAGGGGGGGTCAGCGGCTTATGGAGGCGACGTGGTATCTCCGGTGTAGGGGCTCTGCGGCTTACGGAGGTGATGTGTGTCTCGTGCAGGGGTGACTTGAGCTGCAGTGCCCGCCTTTTACCTCGTGGGCCGTCCCAGAGGACTTGTGCCGTGGCCCGGTGTGGACACTCCTCACACTGCCGTTGGGGTGATTCGTCTGGTTTCCAGGGTTCTGGAGTCCTGAGGTTCTGTGACCGGATGGAACCTGTTGGGAGCCTGATTTGGGTCACGTTACCAGATCTGAGGTGTTTCTAAGGCCTTGGGTGTGCCTGTTTGTGTGCCATCATGGGACGCTTTCCGAACCGCTTGCTTGTCCCTGGGGCTCCTTCAGTCTTCTGTGGTTCAGAATCAGCCAGGAAGACGGGCTGCTTCCGATTGGCCGCTCGGGCGGTCCTCTCCCAGTTGGCTCTTGCCTGCCGCGTAAGGAATCTCGCTTTGGCAAACAAGCGTCACCTTGAAAGTGTCACCAGGCGTCACCGTTACCGTCCTTCTCAGACGGGTTCCTTGAGGTTTTAAAATTACAAATGCATCCTTTCAAAAACATAAATATTAAATATCAATATGATCTACACTATCTTAATTTTTTATTTACCAGTATACAGTGATTTCTTACCAACGTTACTTTTCTTATCACTGAAAATTGAACCTTGATTCTTCTCGAAATAGAATCTCTTTTAAAACCAGTAAGCTAATAAAGGTATAAGGGAAAAGAATATATTTTTATAGATTTATATTAATTGGGATGTGGTAACTGGTAGGCTCAGGCGTAGGCTAGGGTGAAGGTAAGAGTCAAGAACTAAAGGTTTTAGCAGTCAAAGGCTTTATTGGGAACTAAGGTCTCGGGCGGGGTTCCGTGACTCAGGGGGAGAGAGAGAGAGGAGTTAGGGAGGTCGCGCCGGGGGTGGTGGGGTAGGGCTTTTAAGCTGCAGCGGTTCCCGGGGGGGCCTTTTTCGCGCCAGGTCGTGCTGTCGCCGGTGATTGGTTGACCTCCAATTGGTTCTGGCAGCTACTAGGGGCTTTTCATTGGGTTGCATTGGCAAGATGGCCGTCCCCTCCACTGTGGTTCCAGGGACGTCCTAACAGTAACTAAACTAATTACGTGTCTATGAGAATTATAATGAGTTTTGATGACATTTACTTTTCTCTGTTCTGTTGATAGTTTGGGAGAGAAGTGATGTGGTCTGGTATTTGCTTTAAGTAAAGTTTATGATGAATGTGACCTGTTCTAGGACATCTAGGATTTCTAAGACGTTACTAAATGTATTCCAAACCATGAGAGACTCTTACAAACTGAGAATAGACTGAGGGTTGATGGGGGGGGGGGGGAGGGAATGGGTATCGAGGAGGGCACCTGTTGGGAGGAGCACTGGGTGTTGTGCGGAAACCAATTTGACACTAAATCTCATATTAAAAAAAATAAAATGAATGTATTCCATATAAATACATGACTTACAAACAATGTAAGAAATATCTTTCCTTTCAGAATTAATAAAGCATTTGTTACTTGGAAATTGAATGTTAGAAGAATGAAGACAGAGAAGAGCAGGTAAGCTTAAAGAGGCAAATGCATTTTTAACTATGTTAAGGGGAAACCTTATCTTAAATATGTAGTATGGAAGCAGGTATAAATCACTTTTCACTCAGCGATTGGAAAGTCACGTCGCGGTTATGAGTAGGTTTAGTCAATCTTACTTTCAAACACCATTTTTGTATATCGCACGTGATGATGAACACTGACGACATTTCCCAGTATGTCAGTCTGCGGCATGAGGAGGTGATAGTTCTGTGGACAGCTTATGAGGACTTCCCCTGGTCGCTCGATTGACCTTTCTGCTTCCAGAAAGGGGAGTGACTACGTCATGGGAGTCAAATGGCTGTTAATCCTGTTTTACGGGGTCTCTGGCAGCCCCGTGTTGTTGTTGTTGTTGTTGTTGTTGTTGTTATTGAACTTTGTACTTTGAGGTAACTGTGATTGAATGCAGTTGTAAGAGATGATGCCGAGAGACCTCCTGTTTCCCCCAGAGGTAGAACCCCCAAACTCACTGTACAATATGGCAGCCAGGACAGTGGCACTGACGTCATCAAGATACAGAAGATTGGCCACCGCAGGGTCCCTCGTGTTGCCCTTGTACAGCCATACTCGCTTCCCTCCCAGTCCCACCCTCTTCCTAGCCCGTGGCAAGCACGACGCGGGCCCCCATTTCTGTGAGTTTGTCTTTTCGAGAACGTTGTATAAGTGCCGTCATGCAGCATACGACCTTTGGGTTGGGGTTGGCTCTTCCCTGAGCGCAACTCTGCACTTCCATCCAGGCTGCCGCGTTTATCCGGCGTTCCTCGATGGCTGGGGAGCGGCGCGTGCTGACAGTGGGAAGTACACGCGCTGTTCTCCAGCGTTTGTTGACTGTAGGTAAAGCCCTCTAAACCGTCATGTGTGGGTTTTTATGGGAACACAGGTTTTCATTGGTCTGGCGTGAATGCCCCGGAGTGCACTCCTGGGTCATATGGCGATTGCACGTTTAGTTTTGTTCTGTTTTTTCCATCCCCGACAGCAACGTAGGAGTGATTCAGCTTCTCCACCTCCCTGCCGCCATTTGGAATTGTCACTGTTCTTTTGTTTTAGGTATTCCGGCAGTTTTCTGGCAGTATCATGTTGTGGTTTCAGTTTGCGTCTCCCTGATGATGTTGGGCATCTTTCCGTGTGCTTATGGGCCACCTGGGAATCTTCTTTGGTGCGATGTCTCTCCATGTCTCTCTGGTGAGATGTCTCTCCATGTCTCTGGTGGGATTGTTTATCTTTATACTGTTGAGTTTTTAAGGGTTCTTTTTATAGTCTCGACACGAGTCCCTTGTGCCTGGTTTATAAACATTTTCTCCCAGATTTGGCTTGTCTTTTTTTTTTTTTTTTTAATTCAAGAATATTTATTTAGCATCTCTACGTGCCAGGCATGAGGCTAGAGTTAGCCTGCTTTGGGAACGGGTTAACATAACTCTCCAGCCTCACTGCTTCGTTGGCCTGGGTGGCTTTGATGCGGAGACTGAACTCCTCCTCTGTTCAAGGGACACCCTTGGCTACAGGGGTGGTTGGAGGGAGGGGCGTGGGTGAGGGGTTGGGAGGAAGGGGGGTTGTCGATGGCCATTCGTTTCTAGGAGGCAGCATATGGTTTGATCACGTTTTCAGATCCGTCTGCCAATCTCGGTCTTTACTTGCTGTGTTTAGACCCTTGACGTGCAGTCTGATTATTTATTTGTTAGGGCTTAAGCTTGCCATTTTATTTCTTGGTTTCTGTTTCTTCCCTCTGCTTTTTGTCTGTTTCTTCTTTCTGTGGATTATTTGAACATTCAACTAAAGCAGTATTTCTCAGAATTCTATTTGGATTTTTCTATACTATTGTTTAACGTATTTCTGTGTAGCTGTTTGGTGGTTGCTGTTGGCGTAACATCATACATACGTAGCGTGCAATTTACTAGCGTTGCATTTTATTAGTTTGAGTGAACTGTAGAAACCTGTTGCATTTTATTAGTTTGAGTGAACTGTAGAAACCTTACCTCTGTGTCCCTCTGCCCTCCCCCATTTACAGTATGACGGTCTTAAATGTTTCCTCCACTTGTGTTCGGCACTGTTACAGTTTTTTGCTTCCACCATCAAATATACATTGTAAAACTCGAGAACGAGAACGACAGTCTATGTGTTTTTAAAATGTATTCAGTTTGGTTTGTTTATCATGCTCTTGCTTCCTTCTCAATGTCGCAGGGCTCCTTGGGCTGTTTTGTTGTGTATTTCTGTTGCGAGAACTTACATTAGCCATTCTGTTAGGGCAGGTCTGCGGGCAGCAAAGTCTCCTGCTTCTCCCATGTCCCAAAGCGTCTTCTTTGTTTCTCTGTCATCGAAGAAGATTCTGCTGAATATGGGATTCCGAGTGGACAGTTCTTTCCTCTGAGCCCATCTCCTGGCCTCCGTGGTCATTCGAATTGCTTTTCTTCTGTAGACGGTTTTTTCTCTTGCTGCTTTTGACACTTTTTCTTTTGGCTGTAGTTTTCGGAAGTTTGACTTTGATGTGTGGTGGTTGGACTTCTGTCTTTATCCTGTTGTAGTCACCTGGCTTCTAAACCTCTGGTTCGTGCATCCGTTGACAAACTTGTTGCATTTTCGTCCATATTTCTTCAAGTGTTTTTAGTCCTGCCCTCTCCTTCCTCTGCTTCTAGGACTGGGGAGGCAAATGCTAGATCTTTTTTATGGTCCTGCTGGTCCCTGAGGGTCCGCTTATTTTTTTCAGTCAGTCTTTACTCTGTTGTTCAGATTGAATGCTTTCTGTTGTTCTTCTTTCGGTTCACGGATTTCTCTGTCCACTCCGTTCTGCTGTTGAGCCAACATACTGAGTTTTCCATTTCAGTCATTATATTTTTTAACTTATAAAATGATATGTCTTCTGTTTCTCTGCTCACCACCACCCAGGGAGGATGACCTTCCCTATTCCCTGCTCAGCTTTCCCTGAAAACCCCCAGAGGACCGCTAGGGAAGCTCACTACCAGTTGCCCGGCGCACGATGCCAGGCTCTCCATGTGGCCTTCCCCCCCTGTGGTATCTCGCTGGGATAGAATGGTGGTTGTTGAAAAGTTTTCTGTCTTGCTCGGCTGCCCCTTTCTGGCCCTCGAGCCAGACAGCAGGCGCTTCTGTCCGCACCTGTTGGCATTTCCAAGCCTGGGCCGTAGAAGGCAGAAGAAGACGCGCCTGATGACCCTGTCACTCCTGGCCGGTCTGTCTTCTCTACCTCTCGGTGTCTTCTCGTGTTCACTTCACATGTAACGTTCAGAGTTTTTAGTTGTACCTGGAGGGAAGAGTAGTGAAAAGTACACTTACCCCATTTTTATAGGAGCCAGGACCTGAGTTTTAAGAGATTTCTGTGATATATGTTCTAATGCCAAGCAGTTCAATCTTGTGAGTCAAGTTTGCGAGAATGTATTTAGCTCTCTAGTACGATACGGTGGAAATTTGTTGGCGAGTTCCTGGTAACACCTTTGCCTGAATAGTCATCAGATGATGCATTATTTTTCTCTTGTCAGATCTCACCATCACAGTTCTAAATGTTTTCATGCTTTCCCCACCTATAATTTGTTTTCACAGTGAACCCTCCCTAGTTTCCTCATATCTGTGTTAAAATAACACACATAAAGTCAATTATATTTTTTTAAAGGAAAGAAGGAAGCTTTAAACAATGCTGGGTAATGTGGATTCGTTACTATGTGAATCTTCATCATCATTCTCTTGTGAATAAATCCCAAGACGGGGTTTGATTTTTTTTGTGGCGGTTCACTTTCTGGAATGTGCCATCTGTCTTTAGTATGATTTCTTTTCTTCCCTGTACTAGATACCCAGGGGAGTGTCCGTGAACAAATTCCACCTCTGTGAGTAGCTCCAGGTTATGCGGGGCCTGTGTCATTTGAGGAGGCCTTTATGACAAAGACCACAAGGCCTTGGGGAGGGGGAGGGCAGTGAGAATAAAGGGCCCAGGGAGCTTCTTCATGGTGCATAAAGCTTTCGCCAATAAAATGGAAAGACAGGAAAAGGCTAATTTCTGATGATTGTATTTTTATATAAAGTATACCAAAATCAGCTATAAAAGTTAGCCACCCCACAAGGGATCGGTGAAGGGCAGAAGCCCCCCCCCCCCCCCCCGCCCCCTTCCTTGATACACTGTTGCACAGGGAGGTTCGCTTTTCTTGATCCAGTTTTTCAGGAGCCTGATCTCTTTCACTTTGCTCTTTTCTCCTTCAGTTCTGTCTTGTGTTGTTAGAAGTGAGAATACTCACCTTTGTGACCACGATCAGACCGGCAGAAAGGGGCAGAGGAAAGAGCAAGGCCCATCTTTTCTATTCTGGGATATAGGTGGTTGGAGAACTTAAGAAACATTCTCCAAATGGTTCCCAAGTCTAGCTAATTTTTCTTCCTGTAATTGGGGAAAACATAAATTGAGGAAAAGTATTTAAATTTAATAGGGGAAGTATAACTTATGTTGTACATCGCTGCCTACTGTTTCAAAGTTGTTAGAACTCAGTGGCGTAAAATTATATCATCACTTGTTTGCCCTCGTATTTTTTTACTCAACACACCCAATACCAGAGCCTTGCTTTCAACATTATCAGCCAAACAAACCCCATTATGCTTATGTTTATTAATGTCATTTAAAATAGATATGATACATATGGATACAAAACAAATTACACGGTTCCCTCTAAGTGAGTTGTATTCATTTTGAACAGGAGCCAGATAAGTCTGGAAAGTTTTTACCTTTCAGGTCATTTTTGTGCCGCCATCTTTTTGGGGCTGATGAGTTATTTCAAGGCTGTCTGCTCTATGTAAAGGGACTTTGTGAAGATGCAGTTGATGGCAAACATGGAAAAGAATATGAAGAAACTCCATCTGCCATTTGCCTCATCAAGGTGAGGAGCAGCATACTACTGTTAGCCTCTATTTGCAGGTAGAAACCAGGAGGAACAAAAGGAGTTTTGAATCAAAGGAACGCCTGTCTCTAGGTCCAGAAGAAACCATCACTACGGATGACTAACGTTCCAAAATAGTTGCAAAGAACATCATTTCCATGGATAGTCATTTTTAATAATTAATAACATTCCTTATTTAAAAAAATTCTTTTAAGTATATTTACTTGAGAAAGAGTGAGCAAGCAGGGTAGGGGCAGAGAGAGAGAGAGAGACAGAGAGAGAGAATCCCAGGCGGGCTCCGCACTGTCAGTACAGAGCCCGGTGAGGGGCTTGAACTCACAAAACATGAGATCATGAACTGAGCTGAAATCATGAGTTGGACGCTTAACTGACTGTGCCGCCCAGACGCCCCTAACAACATTCTTTATACATAGTTTCATCCCTCAATTCAACCTAAGTCTGTTATGAGGCCGTTTCTTTATTTTCAAAACTCTAAATGTGCAATATCATTTATAAATAGTAATTTCTAATATATAATTGTTAGCTACCTGCGATGTTCTTCTCTCTCAAGATTACATGGCAAGAAATTGTCATAAGTTGCCACTTGGAGGTTTTGCTTCAATTTATGGGTTTTTCTGTTCCACAATTCTAAGAAAGGGTGACCTTCTTTTTAAAAAAATTTTTTTAATGTTTTTATTTATTTTTGAGATAGAGACAGAGCATGAGTAGGAGAGGGGCAGAGAGAGAGGGAGACACAGAACCTGAAGCAGGCTCCAGGCTCTGACCTGTCAGCACAGAGCCCGACACAGGGCTCGAACTCACAGACTGTGAGATCATGACCTGAGCTGAAGTCGGATGCTTAACTGAGCCACCCAGGCGCCCCAGAAAGGGTGACCTTCTTAATGAATGTTTTAGTTTATATAGTTCTTTCTTTTTTTTTTTTTTTATGTTTTATTTATTTTTGAGAGAGTGACAGAGTGAGGGTAGGGAGCAGAGAGAAAGAAGGGAACAGAGGATCCGAGCGGGCTCTGTGCTGAGAGCAGGGACCCTGATGCGGGACTCGAACTTAGGAGCAAAACCATGAGATCGTGACCTGAGCCAAAGCCAGACACTTAACTGACTGAGCCATCCAGGCGTCCCTAGAATAGTTCTTTCAGAGAGGTTAAAGTATATAGAACTATATGTTTTAAGTGTTTAGTATACAATTGAACAGGATTCCAGCAGCTTTTGCTTCATTTACCCACGGTGTGAAGGACGTACTAAAAAGTAAAATTGATAGTCATCTAGACTTAAAAATAGTGAAAGGATTTGATAAATCAACTCAAATTGGATAATCAACTAAAAAATTAATTGTGTTGACTATGTATGTGTAATATGGTTAATACCTATAAATCAGCGTATTTTTAGAATTGATTATGTATAGTGGCTGATACGTAGATGCTTAATAAGTAGTCTTCGAGTGAATAAAAGAATTAATGAAAAAATGAATTATTACAGATGAAGTGTATTTTTTATAACTGTATTGTATAATTGAATTGAATCCTTGTTTCAAAAGGATTAAATTCAAGTTAAGTATGAGACATTTCATTGAAGAGTACTTTTATATGGTTTTATTCTAGAAGGAAATTGGTTGGACAGCTATATTAGATTGTTTTATGAGTGACCGAGTCACAGAATTTACCAGTTAATGGTGGGCGTCAAGGCAAAGGAAACTTTAGTATATCCGTGAAGGCTGTGCCTCATGGATGGTAATGCTCACAGAGTGACAGAGAAGGGATGATAGGACTCTTCCCTGGAGACCTTAGACCCTGTAAATATTTGTCAGTTACCTATTTTACGCAGAGGAGATGGGTAAAACTAAAAATGAGGTATTGTTAATTTTCCTTTGCTTACAGTTTATTGGAAGAGATGATTCTTTACATAGAAAAATGATTGCTAATTCTAGAGGTAGTCCCTCAACTTTGCTAATCATTCTAGCCAACCAGGTAGCAAAATAGAAGGCAAGGAGGATTTATCGGCAAACGATGCTTGTGAAATACTCACGCCCCAGAGATTCAGGGGAAGCGGAGACCAGCCTTTGCAGTGGAAGTCTAGGCGTGTTGCGGGAAAGGAGGACGTGATGAGCTGGGCCGCGCTGGATTTGAGGAGCCGGGGAGCTGGGTCGGGTGGGGGAGTGATGTGAATGTGAGGAAAGCGCTCAGTTTATGTTAGATTCGAAAGTTAGGTTGGGTCTGAATGTTGGGCCAAGAATAGCAGACTGAGGGAGAGCTAGGAGCTGAACCTGCTGTGAGCGGGGGCGCTCCTGGTGGGGGTTGTGAGGAAAGTTCGCGGGGACAGGAGTTCCTGAGACCCACTGGAGAAACCAGGCCCAGAAGGAGGGACAGCAGGGATTCGTAGCCTGGAGAACCGAGTCGGGGGCAGGAGTCAGAAGGTGGACTGCTGGGGACGCAGGTACCAAGGAGGGGTCCCCGAGGCGGGTGTGCGCGTGCTGTGTGGACGAATGTGCGCCACAGGGCCCGGAGCGAGTGTGCGCGTGCTGTGTGGACCAGTGTGCGCCGCAGGGCCCCGGAGCGGGTGTGTGCGTGGTATGGTGGGCAAGTGTGCGCGTGCTGTGTGGACGACTGTGCGCTGCGGGGCCCTGGAGCTGGTGTGCGCGTGCTATGTGGATGAGTGTGCGCCACAGAGCCCCGGAGTGAGTGTGTGTGTCTTGTGGATGAATGTACACTGAAGGGCCCCGGGATGGGTGTGCACGTGCTGTGGTGAGCGGGTGTGTGCTTCAAGGCCCTGGAGCAGGTGTGCGCGTGCTTGTGTGGATGAATGTGCGCCACAGGGCCCAGAGCGATTGTGCACATGCTGTGTGGATGAGTGAGCGCCGCAGGGCCCCGGAGCATCCACAACAGATGGGAAAGGGCCTGCGTTCTCATTTCGTCCAGACCTAGGGAGACCGGTTTATCCAAGGCCATAGAACCAGCTGGAGAGTTGGATTTGCGTTCAAGAATAATTGTGTCTTGGGGGCTCAGTACTTTGCCTCGTGAAAATGTGAGTGTTTGTGTCCCACCCCTGTTGGGGAGAGTGCAGTGGGCGGTGCTAGTCATCTACACGTTTCACAGGCTCCCCGCGCGGTTCTTCTGTAGAGTAGACTGTGAGAATTATTCTTAACAGTGATTGAAAGTTTCTGAACGTGTCATTTTAGGAAAATTAATGTGATGTCACTTTGTGGGGGAAATGGAAGGCAGGGAGAGGCAAAGAGATGGTTAGAGCACTAGAATAATGCAGGTGTGAGCAAGAGTGACTTCAGCTAGTGGTTGGCAGTGAGCTCAGAAAGGGAGCGACATTTTGAGACACCCTTTCCTGGAAAGATCAGGGCCTGGTAACCAGAAAAAGGACGAGGAGAGGGAGAACACAGAGTTAATCCAGAATTTTAAGGTTAGGGGAGCACTTTTCAATCTTTTTTTTTTTTTTTGCAAGCCTACACTTACCAAGTATTAGAGTACCACTCGGGATAAAGGTGCGTGTTTGTTGATGAAAATGCGTTTTGGTGAGAGAATTAACACATGGTGGGAAAAACAGGAAAACACCGCAAGGAGGAAAGGCTACTGGGCTACCGTGAGTGGGTGAAGTGTCTGTGTGCTGTGGGGCCCAGTAGCACAGCCGATGGGATTTCCCCCGTGCTGCGTTCCGAGTGAGCTCATGCACACTTCACGTCATTTGGATTATTTTAGCCTCTTTATCCGATATTTAGTGCCCATATCTGTAATTTTGCACGCAATCGAGATTTCAAGGGTAAAAGCAATTCCTGGGTTTGGTGGCTCCCCGGGGCTCAGATATTTCAAAACACCTCAACTCCTGAGTTCTTCTGCTTAGGGTTGATCTTCGTTACAGTTAAAATAATAACGTATTTTTTCTGTGTTTTATTAAGATGTAGTTTAACTGTGAGCGTGTGGATTTGAAGAACACGGAAAGCATTTGGTGTATAAAGCATAATGTATATGAAAGAGAGTTTAAAATATTCTCTTTATGACATGAAAGGATGACCAGAATATTTCGTGTCTTTTTTTTTTTTTTTTTTTTGTAACAAACTTTGACTTTCCAACATTCAACATCTATCGGGTGAGTAGCTGGATAGGTCCCGAACGTATTCTCTGGATGGATTTTGTGAAGAACAGGCACGGCAGGCTACCCAGGCAGTGAAACAGCTTGAGGATATCAGAGAGAAGGCTATTTGCGAAATGAAACGTACATTCTTAAAGGTAATTCTTTCATTCTCTCCTCTCTCTCTGTCAGACTGTAACATACTGACCGAAGCAGCGTCTCCCGGTTGCATGCCTGGAGGCGGAGTTAGAAACGGGCAGGCGGAGGGACAAAGGTGGTTCCTTAGGCCAAGCGGCTAATGCCGCATGGTCACCGGGCGCGGGACACTTTGCAGGGGCCGTGTGGGGTGCAGGTGTACACGCGTGCAGGTATATCCCCCACCCCCCAACCTTGTGAAAGTTCGTTTACGCCACTTTGCTTTACAGCAGATGTATATGCATAGCTGGTTTGTTAGCTGAAATCCAGAGAGGATGTTGCTTTTACAAAAAAAGGCCAGAAGCACAGAGAGCCCGGCCGCGTCTGTTACGGGGCAGCGAGGGCGCCGACCCAGCTCCTTCCCCCGGCCCCATGCAGCCTCCCTTGGGCGGGGCTGCCAGTGGAGGGGTCTCTGAGCGTCAGTTAGTTTTGTGCAGCTGTCAGCAAAGCCTTTTGGGGTGTGGGAAGGCTCAAAAAATTTCCATATAAATTAATGGTAATGGCTTCTTGGCTTTATGCTGCTGCGGCTTTTGGAAGGTTTCGTAGCAACTCTACCTTTGGAGAGTGGGGGAAGCCTGCATAAGAGAGTGTGTGTGTGTGTGTGTGTGTGTGTGTGTGCGCGCGCGCGTGCATGTGTGCGTAAATGCACGCGTATGGATGTTTACGTATATACCTTCAAGATACTTAAAATCTAACCCGACCTGGCATATATAGGGAAATACGAATTGTTACAAAGTTCAGTGTTTATAAGACAAAAACTCATTGCTCAAGAGAAACATAACCAGATGAGACAAAACTTGCCTGAGGATTTTATGAAAAGGACTCAATAATTCAATGAGCAGTGTCCTCAGAACATTGTTCTCTGAGATGCTGTGACTCACTTGACAGGATTATTTTACGGAGTTTCCCCGGTCGGGGAATGACAGTGCGTGGAAGCGTCCTTCACAGCCACCCTTGGATGAGGGACCGATGCCGTGTTGTCTGGTTACAGGCTGGCGGCCTCTCTCCACTGCTTTGGCCGAGTCCAGGCGCACAGCGGAGGCTCTGGGGGGAGAGGCGGACCGGGTCCCCCTCGGTTTTCAGACAGAGTTTCTCTGAATTAACTTCTGGTGGAGACTGGGTAGCAGTGAGTTCAAGCCTTCGCCTGTTGACGAGAAGATGCAGTGCGGCTGTTTTTCATCAATGGAACAAGGACTCTCCTTCCTCATCTGGTTCCTCAGTCACCCTAACTTCCTGAAGCCCGGTCGTGTCCCAGGCAGACTCCGGGACACTGGCCAAGGGATTAACGGCATCTGTCTTGGGACCCTGGTTACAGATTACTCACGGTCTGGTTTCTCCCATTCAGCCCATTTCTCCCATTCATCAGGGTCTCATCATAAATATTTGATAAGAGGTTTCCATTTAGGTTGTGATAGGCAACAAGTCCTCCCTCCCTACAGAAACTAGTTTGATTTGGTTTATATGACTTATAACTGAAATGTTTAGACTTTTTTTCAAGTTTTTATTTAATTCTCGTTCGTTAACATATATGGTAAAAATTGGTTTCAGGTGTAGAATTTGGTTATTCATCTCTTACATACAACACCCAGTGCTCATCACAGCAAGTGCCCTCCTTAATGCCCATCGCCCCCACCTCCCTCCATCAACCCTCAGATTGTTCTCTATAGTTAAGGCTCTTATGGTTTCTCTCTCTCTCTCTCTCTCTCTCTCTCTCTCTCTCTCTCTCTCTCTCTCTCCCCCTCCCTCCCTCCCTTTATTTTTCCTTCCCCTATGTCCACCTGTTTACTTTTTAAAAAAATTTTTAATGTTTATTATTTATTTTTGAGAGACAGAATGTGAGTGGGGGAGGGGCAGAGAGCGAGGGAGACACAGAATCCAAAGCAGGCTCCAGGCTCCGAGCTGTCAGCACAGAGCCCGATGTCGGGCTCGAACCCACGAACCACAAGATCATGACCTGAACCAAAGTTGGATGCTTAACTGAGCCACCCAGGTGCCCCCCCCATCTGTTTTGTTTCCTAAATTCCACAAATGAGTGAAATCATATGGTATTTGTCTTTCTCTGACTCACTTACTTTGCTTAGCATGATACACTCTAGCTCTATCCACATCATTGCAAATGGCAAGATTTCATTCTCTCTCTTCCCCCTTCCCCCTCCCTCCTTCCCTCCCTTCCCCCTCCCTCCTTCCCTCCCTCCCCCCCTTCTCCTCCCTCTGCCCACTCCTGCATGCTCACTCTGTCTCTCTCTCTCAAAAAAAAAAAAAAAAAGTTGCTACAGCTGAGGTCAGAAAGGTTGCTGCCTGTGTTCTCTAGGATTTTGATGGTTTCCTGCCTTACATTTAGGTTTTTCATCCATTTTGAATTCATTTTTGTGTATGGTGTAAGAAAGTGCTCCAGTTTCATTCTTACGTGGTCACTGTCCAGTTTTCCCAACACCATTTGTTGAAGAGACTGTCCTTTTTCCACTGCACATACTTTCCTGCTTTGTCAAAGATTAGTTGGCCGTACGTTTGTGGTCTATTTCTGGGTTCTGTCTTCTGTTCCATTGATCTGTGTCTGTTTTTGTGTTAGTACCATATTGTCTTATTGATTATGGCTTTGTAACACAGCTTGAAGTCCAGGATCGTGATGCCTCCTGCTTTGGTTTTCTTTTTCAGTATCACTTTGGCTATTTGGAGTCTTTTCTGGTTCCATAAAAGTTTTCAGATTGTTCTAGCTCTGTGAACAATGCTAGCGGCATTGTGATGGTGATTGCATTAAAGATATACATTGGTTTGGGTAGTACAGACATTTTAACGGTGTCCGTTCTTCCAATCTGTGAACATGGAATGTTTCTCCTTTTTTTGCGACGTCTTCGGTTTCTTTCATAAGTGTTCTGTAGTTTTCAGGGTGCAAATCTTTTATCTCTTCAGTTAAGTTTATTCCTAGGTATTTTGTGGGTTTTGGTGCCATTGTAAATGGGACTGTTTTCTGAATTTCTCTGTCTGCTGTTTCATTATTGTATAGAAGTGAAACAGATTTCTGAACATTGAGTTTGTATCCTGCGACTTTGCTGAATTCATGTGTTCTAGCAATTTTTTGGTTGAGTCTTTCAAGTTTTCTACAGAGTATCATGTTGTCTGCAGATAGTCGACGTTTGACTTCTTCCTTGATGACTTGGTAGTCTTTTATTTCTTTTTGTTGTCTGATTTCTGAGGCTAAGATTTCTAGTACTATGTTAGATAGTATTGGTGAGAGTGGACATCTGTGTCTTATTCCTGACTGTAGAGGAAAAGCTCTCTCTTTTCCCCCATTGAGGATGGTACTAGCTGTGGGTCTTCCAAATATGACCTTTATGATGTTGAGGTATGTTCCATCTATACTTTGTTGAGAGTTTTTATCATGAAAGGATGCTGTATTTTGTCAAATGCTTTTTCTGCATCTATTGAGAGGATCCTATGGTTCTTATCCTTTTTTTTTATTAACATGGTATATCAGGTTAATTGATACGTGATTAGTGAACCAACCCTGTAGCCCAGGAATGAATCCCGCTTGATCATGAGGAATAATTCTTTTAATGTACTGTTGGATTCAATTTGCTAGTATCTTGTAGAGAATTTTTGCATCTGTGTTTATCACCTGTTCATTCTCCTTTTTCGTGGGGTCTTTGCTTTTGGAATCAAGGCAATGCTGGCCTTGTAGAATGAGTTTGGAAGTTTTCCTTCCATTTATATTTTTTTGGAACAGCTTGAGAAGAATAGGTACTAACTCCTTTAAATATCTGGTAGAATTCCCCTGAGAAGCCACCTGGCCTCACACTCTTGTTTGTTGGGAGAGTTTTGATTACCGATTCGATTTCTTTGCTGGTTATGGGTCTGTTTAAATTTTCTATTTCTTCCTGTTTCAGTTTTGGTAGTTTGTATGTTTCTAGGAATTTGTCCATTTCTTCCAGATTGCCCAGTTTGTTGGCATGTATATATTTTTTTTAATTTTTTAAAGTTTATTTATTTTGAGAGAGAGAAAGCTCACAAGCGGGGTAGGGACAGAGAGAGACAGAAAGAGAGTTCCAAGCAGACCCTGTGCTGTCAGCACAAAGCCCTGTCTGGGGCTTGAACTCACAAACCATGAGATCATGACCTGAGCTGAGCTTAAAGTCTAATGCTTAACCAACTGAGCCACCCAGGCACCCCTTGGCATGTAATTTTTAATAATAATCTCTTAGGGGTGCCTGGGTGGCGCAGTCGGTTAAGCGTCCGACTTCAGCCAGGTCACAATCTCGCGGTCCGGGAGTTGGAGCCCTGCGTCAGGCTCTGGGCTAATGGCTCGGAGCCTGGAGCCTGTTTCCGATTCTGTGTCTCCCTCTTTCTCTGCCCCTCCCGCGTTCATGCTCTGTCTCTCTCTGTTCCAAAAATAAATAAACGTTGAAAAAAAAATAAAATAATAGTCTCTTATAATTGTTTATATTTCTGTGGTGTTGGTTGTGATCTATCCTCCTTCATTTGTGATATTATTTGGGTCCTTTCTCTTTACTTTTTGCTAAGTATGGCTAGAGGTTTATCAATGTTATTAATTCTTTTGAAGAACCAGCTCTTAGTTTTATTGATCTGTTCTGGTTTTTTGTGTCTACATCATTTATTTCTGCTCTAGTCTTTATTATTTCCTTTCTTCTGCTGGCCTTAGGCTTTATTTGCTATTCTTTTCTAGCTCCTTTGAGGTGTAAGGTTAGGTTATGTATTTGGGACCTTTCTTCCTTCTTTTGTTAAATTTTTTTAATGTTTACTTTTTGAGAGCAAGAGAGAGAAAGCGAGCGCAAGCAAGCGGGGGAGGGGCAGAGAGAGAGAGCGCACGAGACAGAAGATCCAAAGCATGCTCTGTGCTATTAGCACAGAGCCTGACGAGGGGCCCGAACCCACGAACCGTGAGATCATGACCTGAGTTGACATCAGACGCCTAACTGACTGAGCCACCCAGGTGCCCCCTTTCTTCCTTCTTGAGGTAGGCCTGTATTGCAGTATACTTCCCTCTTAGGACTGCCTTTGCTGCATCCCAAAGGTTTTAGACTGTGTGTTTTCATATCCATTTGCTTCCATGTACTTTAGTTCTTTAACTTCTTGGTTAACCAGTTCATTCTTTAGTAGGATGTTCTTTAATCTCCATGTGTTTGTGGTTATCCGAATTTTTTCTTGGGGTTGACTTCAAGTTTCATAGTGTTGTGGTGTGAAAATATGCATGGTATGATCTCAATCTTTTTGTACTGTTGAGGCCTAATATTTGATCTGTTCTGAAGAATGTTCCATGTGCATTCAAAAAGAATGTGTATTCTGCTGTTTTAAGGTGAAATATTCTGACTATATCCATTAAGTCCATCCGGTCCAGTGTGTCATCTTGGCAGTGGCTGGCTTTTGTTGAATTTGGTGGGATTTTTCTGTGCTTCTTGGACTTCAGTGGCTGTTTCATTCCGCGGATTGAGGAAGTTCTCAGCTATAGTTTGCTCAAATAAACCCTCTGCCTCTTTTTCTCTCTCTTCTTTTGGGACTCCTAAGATACACGTGTTACTGTGCTTTTTCCCTAAGTCCGTATTTGTGATCCAGTGCCTTTCTTTCCCTCTTCTTTTCTGAGTCATTAGTTTCCATACTTCTCCCTTCCATGTCACCAGTTCATCCCTGTGCTGCGTCCGTCCTCACTGGCATTGCATTCAGTTGGGCTTGCAACTCCGCTACAGCATTTTTAATTTTGGCCTGACTGGGTTTTAGTTCTTTTATCTCTGCAGTAAGGGATTCTCTGGTGTCTTCTGTGCATTTTTCAAGCCCAGCTAGTAGCCTTATAATTGTTTAATTCTAGTTCAGACATCTTAATTATGTCTGTGTTAATTAAAACCCTATCTGTTACTTCTTCCTGTTCTTCCTTTTGGGGTAAATTCCTCCGTCTGGTCATTTTGTCTACATCACTGTTTTTTGGTGTGTGATTGTTAGGAAAGCCTGAGAGTGATGGCTGTATTAAGAAGAGGTCCAGAAAAGAAGGGGTGAGGCAGCCCCTCTGCACTCTGCTGTCGTGTTCTGGCTGCTCCTGCCCTCAGGCCAGTCCTTTGCAGGGTTTCTCCTTGCCTGCATGGGGGCTGTTTGGACCTTGTCCTCTCACCGTATGGCAAGTTTTAACTAGATGTGTTTTGGTCTGCTCGTTAATAGAAGCTAGATCAAAAGAAAAAGAAAAAAGAAGCTAGATCCTGTTTGCCCTAGAGACGAAATTTGCAGCCTCTTTGATGAGTAGACTTGATGCGTGGGGGAGGTCTGTGCTGGTCTTCTCCGTGAGGGGCCTGCGGCGCTGACTCTCAGGCGGACTTGCCCGAGCGAAGATGCACCTGCAGGGCGCAGGGGCGCGGGCGGGGTAGGTGGCTCCTGTCTCCACCGGGGGGTGCTGTGTTCACTGACGTTCATCAGTGCCGGTGGGCTGGAGCTGTGGCAGTGGCAAAATGGTGTCCCCCCCACTCTTGTCCCCAGAGTGGCGAGTTCGCACCTCTCACTTTTCAGGAAAAGCAAACAATCACCCCTCTTGTGTCCCCAGCTTCCGTCAGATCCCTGCCTTCGCCCTGTCTGCGTCCGAGCTGTGTGCCAGGCGGCACAGTACTCCTGTGTGTTATCTGAGGCACGTGGCTGGGTGTCAGAACTCCACATTTTAAGGTCCCACGTGGCACACACCCCCGCTGATCCTCTGGAGGAGGGTCTCACTGTGCTTCTGCCATTTGCCGTTTGCCAAGGAACCTTTTATTTAGATTTGACTCTCCCCCGTTGGCAGCTCTTAGTGTACTTGAGGAGGGTCCCTCTATGCAGGAACGCTTAGGTAATCATCAGTATGTACTTCCCGTTGGACTTCCATAAACTCGTCCGCTTGTAAGGGACACCCTGAACTTCATAGGCCTCTTTTGGTCTGCTCTTCAAATACAGTGCAAACATAAAGTTTTTTGAGAGTTGTCCTAATAACGTTGAGTTGCAATGTTACTTAGACTAATGAAAATACTATACATTAGAAATCGTGCTGTATTAACATAGAAAGTTGTCACTTGTTTCTCCATTGTTTATTGAATTGTAGGTGGCAGAAAAGAAAGAAATTAAAGAATATTTTGAGTCAAACCTCTCTGAAGACTACACAACACATTTCAAGCTGCCTGAATATCGACATTTATTAGAAACAATTTTGAGGTTTCTGATGCTGGTTGACTACATATTTCAGGAACTCATCCGTCAACTGATGAACACTGCCGTCACACTGCTTTTGGAATTATTTAATAATTCTGCTAGAGTGCCATTTTCAAGGGAAAGAAAGAATGAAAATCTCATCAAGTAAATCGAACTTTTTTGGCTTGTAAAAAGAATTTATGATCATAACGTAATATGTTGCCACTTACGGAGGAGATATCCAATAACTTAAGCTAGAATTTGAAAATTCTCCTTGTAAATTATATGTACTCAGTTTTTGCGATTTTCTGAGCTTCTTATCTGGTAATACCCTCCTTAATACTGTCCATGAAATTTAAGAAAATTTCCCTCTTCCCCTTTCCACCCCCAAATTCTGCATAGGTTAGCTTGCCCTTTGAGATACACGATGTCCAGTGAAATTTGAAATTCAGATTAACAATGAATAATATTTTAGTACAGTATGTCCCAATATTACCTAAGTTATTGTTTATCTTGGAATTCAAATTTAATTTGGTGTTCTTTATTTTTAATTTGTTAAACCTGGCAATCCTATGCATAGGTATACTGTATCTTCAAAGTTCAGAACTAGCCCTTAAAGATGTGTGAGGATGATTCTGGAAGTAGCCACAAGGTTCATTTGGAATTTGGGTCAATTCCAACTATCTGTTGAAAACAAAATGTTTTCAGCTTCTATTTAAATACTACTGTTAAAACCTTTTTCTTATTTTCCGCAACTGGATCTATCACTGTGCCTTGTGAGCCATGGAATATGAACTGAGACTGTAGATGCTTTATGTTCAAACGGTCAAAATTTAGCAATATTATTTTAAGCCAAATCAGAGTTTTAGTATCATAACTGGAGAGTGAAAAATATATCAATTCATAAAACTTTGAAGAATCTTAAATATGTTATTTCTCTAATTTATTATTGGATCCAGCAGAGCTTAAGTCATTGATCTAAGGCCTCATAAGTGATTTGAGTCAGTGCCAGGACTTTAACCTATATAAGAGCACTATTTAGTAATAGCACATTATAACTTTATTTCTCCTAAAACTACAAGTATGTGTGTATGTGTGTGTTTGTGTGTTTAGGAGAAGTTTTTAATTTGGAACTTCCTTCCGTCCTTCCTTCCTTATTTATATTTTAGTGTTTATTTTTGAGAGAGAGAGAGCACAAGCAGGGGAGAGGGGGACAGAGGATCCAAAGAGAGCTCTGTGCTGACAGCAGACCGCCCAATGTGGGGCTCAAACTCATGAGTCACGAGATCATGACCTGAGCCAAAGTCAGACACTTAACTGACTGAGCCACCCAGGCGCCTGAACATAATTTTTTAAAATATATATTTATTATTATATTAAATTGGTCATATACTAGAAAATATTGAAAACAAAATTTACCCTAATTCCGTCGCTTAAAGACAATGTCTTATTGTTTTGGTACAGTTTCTTCTAAACTTTTCCTGTGTATTTTTCCATGGTACTATTTCATAGCTTATTTTAAAAATACAACATGCCTTGTATACTTTTTTTTTAATGTTACAGGGGAAATACTTGTGGATTTCAAGTATATGTATTTTTAGAATCATACCACCTGGGTTAATCCCCGTTTCATCTCTGACATGTTGTGTGACTTAGGTTAGCTAGTAAACTAACAGAGGTTATATAAATTCTTTAAACCTCAGTTTCCTCATCTATAAACTAGAAATAACAATAATACCTATATCATTAGGTTCTTTGAGAATAAGCAGATTAAATGCCTGCTAAATAGGTGCTACCATTACTGAATCTGTTCCCACTGACCTCCTTAACAGTATTGGTTTGTATTTCCGTAATGACTAATGATATTGTGCATCCTTTGATATTATTGGCTATCTGTAGATGTTCTCAGACAAAATGCCTGTTCAAGTCCTTTGTCCATTTTTATTTTTATTTATTTTTTAATGTTTATTTTTGAGAGAGTGCAAGCAGAGGCAGGGCAGAGAGAAAAGGGAACAGAGGACCCAAGTGGGCTCTGTGCCCACTTGTGGAGAGCTTGATGTGGGGCTTGAGCTCGTAAACTGCGAGATCATGACCTGAGCTGAAATCCAGAGTCAGACACTTAACTGACTGAGCCACCCAGGTGCCCCCGTCCATTTTTAAATTGTGTTGTCTTGGGGCACCCTGAATAGCTCAGTCGGTTAAGCGTCCGACTTCGGCTCAGGCCATGATCTCACAGTTTACAGATTCGAGCCCTGCATCGGGCTCTGCTGGCAGCTCGGAGCCTGGAGCCTGCTTCGGATTCTGTGTCTCCCTCTCTCTCTGCCCCTCCCCCATTCATGCTCTGTCTCTCTCTGTCTCAAAAATAAATTAAAAACGTTGAAAAAAACTGTATTGTCTTTATTGTTAAGTTATAAAGAATTTTAAAAATATATTTTGGGTACAAGAGCCTTATTATCATGAAATAATTACTTGCAAAAATTTTCTTTCATTCTATACATCATCTTTTCACTTTCTTGATAGTATCCTTTCGAACACAAACGTATTTAATTTTGAAAAAGGCCAATTCTGGGGCGCCTGGGTGGCGCAGTCAGTTAAGCGTCCGACTTCAGCTCGGGTCATGATCTCGCGGTCCGTGAGTTCGAGCCCTGCGTCAGGCTCCGGGCTGATGGCTCAGAGCCTGGAGCCTGTTTCCGATTCTGCGTCTCCCTCTCTCTCTGCCCCTCCCCCGTTCATGCTCTGTCTCTCTCTGTCCCAAAAATAAATAAACGTTAAAAAAAAAAAAAAAAGAAAAAGGCCAATTTATTTTTTCTTTGATTGTACTATTTTTTAAAAATTTTTTAACGTTTATTTATTTTTGAGAGAGTGACAGAGCACGAGTCGGGGAGGGACAGAGAGAGGAGAGGGAGACACAGAATCCAAAGCAGGCTCCAGGCTCTGAGCTGTCAGCACAGACCCCAACGCAAGGCCCAAACCCACGAACTGTGAGATTATGACCTGAGCTGAAGTTGGACACTTAACCAACTGAGCCACCCAGGCGCCCCTCCTTGATTGTACTTTAACTGTTATATAAAAGAAATCATTTCCCAATCCAAGATCATGAAGATTTATACCTTTATATTCTCCTAAGATTTTTAATTTTAGCTGCTGCATTTAGGTCTTTGATCCATTTTGTTTTAATTTTTGTATACAGTCTGAGATAAGGGTCTAAATTCATTCTTTCCCGTATGGATATCCAACTGTCCCAGCACTGTTTCTCAGAAAGACTATTCTTTCTCCATTGAATTGTGTTGGCATCCTGTTGACAATCAGTTGACGATAGATGTATGGATTTATATACGGACTGTAAATTTTGTTCAGGTGATCTCTATGTCTGTCAGTACCACAGTCTTGATTACTGTAGCTTTGTAGTAAGTTTTGAAATTGGAAAGTGTGAATTTTATAACACTGTTCCTTTTCAACATTGTTTGGACTATTCTGGGTCCCTTGCATTTACTGTGAACTGTAGAGTAAGATTGCCAATTTCTATCTAAAACAAAAACAACAACTGGAATTTATGTAAGGATTGCACTGAATCTTTAGATAAATATGGGGAGCATTTTTATTTGAACAGTATAAAGTTTTCCAGTCCATGGATGTGAGATTGTCTTTGCATTTATATGGGTAGTCTAATTTCTTTCAGTAGTCTTTTACGGTTTTCAGTGTATGTGTCACACTTCTTTTGTTATGTTTATTTTGAAGTATTTCATTCTTTTTGATGCTATTGTAAACACCATTTTTTAAGTTTTATTTTGGATTATTAATTGCTAACATATTGAAATATAGCTGATTTTTGTATATTGATCTTGTATCCAGCAACCCTGCTCAACTTGTTTATTAGTACTAATGGTGTGTGTGTGTGTTAACTCCTTAAGATTTTCTATACAGGATTGTGACACCTGTAAATAGAGATCGTTTTACTTCTTTTTTTTCCCAGTCTGATATCTTTTATTACTTTTTGTTGCCTGATTGCCCTGGCTAGAATCTTCAATGCAACGTTATTAGAAGTGGCAACAGTGAACATTCCTGTTTTATTCCTTGTCTCAAGAGGGAAACTTTAAGTCTTTTATCGTTAAGTATGATGTTAACTGTGGGGTTTTTGCAAGTGTTTCTTATCAGGTCGAGGAAGTTCCCCTCTATTGTTAGTTTGTTTAATGTTTTTGCATGAAATGTTGGATTTTGTTAAATGCTATTTTTCTGTGTCAGTTGATCATGTGTTTTTTACTTTATGCTGCCAATATGGTATACTACATTATGTTACATATATACATTTTTGTATGTTGAACCAACCTTGCATTTTTGGGATAGTTTCCACTCAATTATGATATATAATCCTTTGTATAGGCAGCTAGATTGAGTTTGCTAATATTTTGTTAAGGATTTGTGTGTCTCTATTCATAAAGGTATTAGTCTGTAGTTTTCTTACGATGTCTGTGTCTGGTTTTGGTTCCAGGAAAATTCTGGGCTCATAGAATGAACTGGTATAATTTCTTTCTTAAGTATTTGACAGACTTCACACGGAAACCTGTCTGGGCCCAGGGCGTTCTATTTTGAAAGCTTACACATTATTTGCTCAGTTTCTTTAATAGATGTCCTATTCAGATTATCTATTTCTCTGATTTTTATGAGGGGATGTGGAAAGATTTTTTAAAAAGTTCTGTGCCATTCTCTTGCTGCCAGAAGCTCCTAATAGTTTTATTTTCTGCCCTTTTCACCTTAAATTGAGATGCCTATCTTACTATGGTTTGATTTTGCTTTTTAACTTAATCCGATAGTTTCTGTCTTTTAATTAGGAAATTAAACCTATTTAGATTCAGTAACTGGTATGCTTTGCTTTTGCGCCTCCCATTTCATTTATGCTTATTATTTATTTTACTTTGGTTTTTTTCTCTTTCCTTTTCTGTTTTCTTATTTTTCTTGATTCACTCAAATGGTTCTTAATTCCCTGTGCCTCCTTCTTACCTCCTTGTTTTAGTGTTTCTTATGCTTTGCAGTGTGTTTACGTATTCTCCATCTTCCTCATAATTATTATTTAAATTCTATTTTTGTTAGCTTATATTTGTAAGTCTTTACTTTTCCATAAAAATGCTTCACTTATTAAAGCTTATTTTTAGACAGAGGGAGAAGGAGCACATGCACGTGCATGCACACGAGCAGGGGAAGGGCAGAGAGGGAGGGACAAGAATCCCAAGCAGTTTCCATGCTTTCAGCGCAGAGAGACTTTCTGTCTATGGATTTACCTATTCTAGGTACCTCATTTGGTGGAGTTACACGATATTTGTTCATTGTTTCTGGCTTATTTCCCTTAGCATAATGTTTTCAAGGTTCATCCATGTTGTGACACGTATGAGAATTTCCTTTTTAAGGCTAGATAATGATTGTATGTGTATACTAGATTTTATTTATCTGTTCATCTGTTGATAGACATCTGGGTCATTTTCACCTTTTGGCTATCGTGAATGACGTTGCTATAAACATTGACGTGTAAATATCTGTTTGAATCACTGTTTTCAGTTCTTTCGTTTATCTGCCCTGAGGTGGCGTTGCTGGATCACCTGGTAATTCAACAGGTAACTTTCTGAGGAATTTCCCCGGTATTTTCCACAGCAACCGCCCTATTTTAATTCCCACCAGGAAGCACCAGGATTCTAATGCTCACCAACACCACTTTCCTCTTTTAGAGAATAGCAGCCGTCCTGTTTGGTGTAAAGTTACATCTCATTGTGGTCTTGATTTGTATTTCCCTAATGATGAGTGATGCTAAACATGTTTTCATGTACTAATTGACCATCTGTATATCTTCTTTGGGGGAATGTCTAATTATTTATGTGTTCTGGATATCAGTAAGATATCAAAGTTTAGAAAGACTTTTTTTTCTTATTTCTTAATCTAGAATGTACAAGAATATCTTTACTTTCCCTGGAAAGATAACAAATGATGGTGAAGAATTTGTCGGTAATTCAAATTTACGTGCCACTTCTGTTTTAAGGTCAGAAGTGAAAATGGAAGCAGATATTAATGAGGTGAGTGGTCTTTGAAAAATATGAGCACAGATTTTTAATGTAAAATGAATAAGTTTTGTAATTAAAAATGTGATTCATGATTACTCACAATTGTTTGCGCACCACACACACATACACGTCCCTCCCACTGTAGAAAGCTGTAATGACACTTATCTCAGTTGGTTCATTTGTTCGTGCGTTATTGAGTACTTACTATACACCGGTCACTGGGCTCGGTTCTGAAATTCACCAGCTCGGTTCTGAAATTCCCTGATCTCTTGGAGCTTGTATTCTGCACCAGGAGAGACAGGGACTGAAGTGATGGTGCAGTGAGGAAGCACAAAGGTAGACAAGGCAACGCGGAGTGCTGCCGTATGCTGCTTTCACACGGGACTGGTGCGGGAGGGCCACCCTATCTAAAGTAGCAGTTACCCCCTCCGCCCCCACTATTGTCTACCTTTGACTCTTCGCCGTTCTACAGAAGACAGCAAATAACAAAAAAAGTTTTTGTTATTAACTCAAAAATGACACAAGCCAAATATGAAAACTCTTAACAGAATCCTAGAAAAACTTACACTAGGAAATCTTTTTTTTTTTTAATGTTTATTTATTTTGAGAGGGAGAGAGAGTGCATGTGAGTGGGGGAGGGGCAGAGAGAGAAGGAGAGCAAGAATCCTAAGCGGGATCCATGCTTTTGGCACAGAGCCTGATGCAGGGCTCGATCTTACAAACCATGAAATCATGACCTGGGCCCAAATCAAGAGTTAGATGCCGGCCTGACTGAACCACCCAGGTGCCCTGGGAAATCTTTTCTTGACATGAGGAATTGTATCCTGCCCCCGACAATATTTTCTCGGGATTAAACTTTATACAGTAGATACTTTTTCTACTTTGCAAAAGCAGCATTTTTATGAGATAGCACTGTATAATATGTATGTTTTACATATTTTTTAATATTTTAGGTAGATTTGGTAACAAGGGAAAATGTTCACATTTTAAATTTCAGTTTGTATTTCTCTTATCATAGCTTAATTCTGTATTTTAAAAAATATGTTATTGGAGGGGCGGCTGAGTGGCTCTGTCGGTTGGGCGTTCCACTTCGGCCCAGGTCATGATCTCACGGTTCGTGAGCTCACGCCCCGGGTCAGGCTCTGTGCTGACAGCTCGGAGCCTGGAGCCTGCTTCGGATTCTGTGTCTCCCTTTGTCTGTCCCTCCGCTGCTTGCACTCTGTCTGTCACATTGTCTCAAAAAGAAATAAATGTTAAAAAAAATTTTTTTTTTAAATATGTTATTGTAGACTCATATTTTGTCTTCTATGTTTTTTGTCCATTTATCTGCTGAATAGATTTTTCTATTATTTTGTAGGAATTCTTCGTATTTATATTGCAATTATCTTTTCTGCTAGATGGCTTGCTACTTTTATTCCCTCGTGGTAATTTTTATCAGTAATTCTTCATTTCAGTGTAGTGGAATTTATCAGTCCTTTTATTTGTGTTAGTGTCTGAGATTAAATTTACCATCCTGAGTCATAAATATATTTTCCTTTATTTTCTCATAGAAGCTCTAGAGTCTGGCCTTCACACGTGTCTTTAATGTGTCTGTGTGTAGTGTAGGCTGGGCTCCACTTTCAGGTATTTCTGTGTGAGTAGCCATTGCCCAGACGTAGTTTCTTTACATCCTTTCCCTGCTGATCTGCGCTGGCAGCTCTTTCTTTATCATTTACCATCTGATTCCCATATGTGTGTCTTCTGTTCCCCAGCTGTTACTCTGTCCTGTTGATCTATTTGCCTCTCACTGTGCCGATCCCACACTGGATTAATGGTATATAGCTTTGAGATAAGGCTTCTTTTATTCTCAGCCATTTGCTCGTCTGTATACAGTTTAGATTCAAACCCTATTTGGATTTTGGTTGAAATTGCCTAGAAGATGGGGAGAGTTAATATTTTATGATATTGAATCTTCCCGACATGATTGTGCTATTTAAGTCTTCTTGAATTTTTTCAATGTCTTTTATAATTTCTCCATAAAAATCTTAGATATTTTTTTGTTAGATTTAACCTGTGAGCCTTGTAGCCCCAGCCTGTACTGGGAGTTGTTATTTTATTTATTTATTTTTTTTTAATTTTTAATGTTTGTTTATTTTTGAGAGAGAAACAGAGCATGAGCAGGAGACAGGCAGAGAGAGGTAGACACAGAAGCTGAAGCAGGTTCCAGGCTCTGAGCTGTCAACCCAGAGCCCGACGCGGGGCTCGAACTCACAAACCGTGAGATCATGACCTGAGCCGAAGTCAGATGCTCAACCAACGGAGCCATCCAGGCGCCCCGGGAGTTGTTATTTTAGATGCTTCTACTAGTTCTTTATGAACACTTTAGAATAGAAATATTTTTAGATAAAAACACATGCACTGTTTTTTTTTAATTTTTTAATGTTTTTAAATTTATTTTCGAGAGGGAGAGACAGAGTGTGAGTGGGGAGGGGCAGAGAGAGAGGGAAACACAGAATCTGAAGCAAGCTCCAGGCTCTGAGCTGTCAGCACAGAGCCCAATGTGGGGCTCGAACCCATGAGGTACAGGATCATGACCTGAGTTGAAGTCGGAGGCTTAACCGACTGAGCCACCCAGGTGCCCCTGCACTGTTACAATTTTTTCCTTAGGATTAATACCAATCAGCACAATAGGCCTTTCTACGGTCTTCCATTTGCAGAGTATCTCTTTAGACAAAGTTATACTAATTTCTATCAAAGAGTGCCTTTTACATGTATCCTATTTTATACTGACCGTTGCTTATTGATAACTGAAATCTCAGATTAACTGATCTTTTTACTTATTACTTGTAGTGAGTGTTTTTCTTATACTTATTAGCCATTTGTAGTTCTCATTTTTATGACCTTTTGATGTTCTTTCCCATTTTTCTGATGGCGTTTTCTCTTCCTTTTTCTTACTGAATTACAAAACTATTTATAAAGTACAGACCATAACCATTTGTTATATCATGAAAATATAAATCTTAATGCGTTATTTTTCATTTTGTTACTAGTGTTTCTAGTATGAGGAAGATTTTTTTTGAGTAATTAAAAACCTGTCCCACCTGGGTTCACTGGTAAATTCTACCAAACATTTAAGACAGAAATTATACCAATTTTCTACAGTCTTTTTCAGAGGAATGCAGAAGATAGAATACTTTCTAACTTATTCTATGAGACCAATGTTACTTTAATACCAAAACCAGACAGACAGTACAAGAAAGCTACAGACAGATATCTCTCATGAACACAGATGTAAAAATCTTCAAATCACAATCCAACATAGAATTGTACACCAAGTGGGATTTATCCTAGGTATGTAAGCTAGTTCAACTCTTGAAAGCTAATGCAATCCATCACATCAGTAGGCTAAAAAAAAAAAAAATCACATGCTCATATAATAGATGCAGGAAAAGTATATGAGAAAATATAACACCCATTCATGATAAAAGTTCTCAGTAAACTAGAAAGAGAAGGTAACTTCTTCAACTTGATAGAGAATCTTTACCAAAAAACCTGTAGCTCACCTTACATTTAGTGGTGACAAGCTTGAAGTTTTTCTGTTAAGATCAGGAGCAAAGCAGAAATGTTCCCTCTGACTAATGCTTTTCAACATTGTACTGGAAATACTAGCTTATGCAACAAGACAAGAAAAGGAAACAAAAAGTATACGGTTTGGGAAGGAAGAACTAAAACTTCCTTTGCAGATGACATGCTCATCTATGTAGAAAATCCAAAAGAATCAACGAAAAATCTGGAACTAATTAGTGATTATAGTGAGGTTGCAGGCTACAGGGTTAATTTTAAAAGGTCAGTCACTTTCCTATATGCCTGCAGTGAACAAGTGAAATTTGAAGTTGAAAACAATACTATTTACGTTAGCACCTTCCCAAATGAAATACTTGGGTATAAATCTTACAAAATACATACAGGGTACATATGAGGAAAACTACAAAACTCTAATGAAAGAGATCAAAAGAGAACTAAAAGAATGAAGTGATAGTCCATGTTCATGGATGGGAAGACTCCGTATTATCAACATGTCAGCTTTTCCCAACTTGATCTATAGTTTCAATGCAATGCCAATCAAAATCCCAGGGCCTATTTTGTGGATCATGACAAACTAATTCCAAAGTTTATATGGAGGGACGAAAGACCCAGAATAGCCAATACCATACTGAAGGAGAACAAATTTGGAGGACCGACACTGTCTGACGTTATGATTTACTTTAAGGGTATGATAATCAAGACAGTTTGGTATTAATGAAAGAACAGTCAGATAGACCACTGGAACAGAATAGAGAGGCCAGAAATGGATTCCCATAAATACAGTAAAACCTTGGTGTGTGAGCATAATTCGTTCCAGAAACATGCTTGTAGTCCAGAGCACTTGTATATCAAAGCAAATTTCAAGAACCATCGGTTTAGTGGTGATCATGTGATGTTTGGTGTCACATACTACTCGTATTGCAAGACATCGCTTGTTTATCAAGTTAAAATTTATTAGAAACATTTGCTCGTCTTGTGGAACATTTGCAGAAGAAGTTACTCACAATCCAAGATCTTACTGTGTAGTCAACTGATGTTTGACAAAGGAACAAGAGCGATACAGTGGAGCAGAGATGGTACTCAATAAATGTGCTGGAACAACTGGACGTCCACGTGCCAAAAACAATGAATATAGACTCAGACTTTACATCTTTCACAGAATTAACTCAAAATGGATCATAGACCTATTTGTCAAATGCAAAATTAAAGAAACTCTTAAAGGTAATATAAGAAAAAACCTAGATGACCTTAAGTGTGGCAGTGACTTTTTAGACACAACACCAAAGGCACGATCCATGAAAGAACTGATAAGCTGGACTTCATTGAAATAGAAGACTTTTTGGGTCGCCTGGGTGGCTTAGTCGGTCAAGCATCTACCTCTTGGTTTAGCCTCAGATCACGATCTCCTGGTTCGTGAGTTCGAGCCCCACATCGGGCTCTGTGCTGACAGCACGGGTCCTGCTTGGGAGTCTCACTCCTTGTCTTGTTCTAAATTGTCCTTGTTCTAAATTGCATTTCTCTGATGACAAATAATGTGGACCATGTCTTCATATGCTTGTTTGTCACCTGTATACTTTCTTTGTTGATGTGTCAGTTAAGGTCTTTGACTCATTTTTAATTGGGTTATGTGTTTTCTAACTGTTGAGTTGGAAGGGTTCTTTGCATATTTTAGAGAACAGACCTTTAGCAGCTATGTCTTTTGCAAATATTTTGTCCCATCCTGACTTGACTTCAAGTCTTGTGGCTTGACTTCACTCTCATACCTTTGTATTTTGCCAAGAAGCTTTCTATTCTCTATTTATTTATTTATTTTGCAAGAGAAAGAGAACGGGCAAGGGAGGGGCAGACCCATGACTTCCGCCTTATCACATGCTGGCAATATAGCCTTTGACAAACTAATACCAGCTTTTTTATATATAATAAGAGTAATAATTTCTGTCCAGGTTGCTGTGAAGGTGAGGTGAGGGCAACTTGTTTACTCTAGCGCCTAGGACATGATAAGCACTCACCCAAGAGTAACTGTGTCCAGTAATACAGTGTGCTAGGAGTATACTGTATCAGGTGTACTCAACTAGTGGACACAGATACAAGTATGCCGTATCGAATAGTAGTTGTACTACGTGCATTTCAGGAATGATTCTACGCCAACTATTTGTAATACTGTAACATGAGAAAGTGTGTAGGGTTCAAGGTCCGGTCGTTACCAGGATTAGAGGTTATTTTCCAGAAGAAGCTATACGACGCATTATGTTTGTTTGAAATTGTCTGTGAACTTGTTGATTGTGATAAAGCATACATAACATCCACTTGCCCGTTTCGAGCATATTTTACACGTGAAACTCAGTGGCGTTACCACACGCGCGGGGCTGTGTGCAGTCACCGTCACCCACCCTGCAGCAGTGTGTCACCCCCCGAAACTCCCGCGTTTATTTGTGTACAACCTCTAAAGATTGCGTGTCCCCTTCAGCATCTGCTCAGGCTCTTCCTTCGCGGCTTCATGGGGTGCTGGCGATGTTTGCGTACGGTGTCAACCGCCTTTATTCGTTAAGGGCTACTTGAGGTTCTGGCAGGTGAGGGAGACGACCGCTCTGAGAAACCCTGGATGCCTCCAGAACAGCGGGCTGTGTGTGCGTAAGAGAGATGGACACATTAGTTGAGAACACCTGCCTAGACAGAGCCTACGAGCGGATACATTGTCTAAGAAAGGTGTTTATCTGTGAAATCGTCTGGCTGTTTCTCGGCAGGGACGGGTGCCTGTACCAGAATGGGGGTATTCCAGCAGGGACGTGTACCTGTACCGGGATGTGCATATCCTCAGTACATATTCTCTGTACCAGGACGTGTACATGCCAGTAGGGACGGGTACCCGTACTAGGATGTGTACACTCCAGTAGGGGCGGGTACCTGTACCGGGATGTGTATATTCCAGTGAAGAAGTCAGACCTGCAGCAGTGGTTTTGAAGGAGATTCCAGATTTCTAATTCTCAACCATGAGTGCACAGTAGACTCACTTGCACAGCTTTTAAATGATTCATATTCTTGGTATAAAATTGTTCAATCAATGTATTGTACACCTGAAACTAATATAACATTGTATGTTAATTATACTTTAATTACAGAGAGATTCTTGGGCCCTGCCGCAGACCTTTTAACTCAATCTCTGGGGATGGGGCCCAAGAATTTGTATTTTTAATTTTTTTTTCCATTTATTTATTTTTTGAGAGACATAGAGCACAAGTTGGGGAGGGTCAGAGAGAGAGGGAGACACAGAATCTGAAGCAGGCTCCAGGCTCGGAGCTATCAGCACAGAGCCCAACACGGGGCTCGAACTCACAAACTGTGAGATCATGACCTGAGCCGAAGTCAGACGCTTAACCGACTGAGCCACCCAGGCGCCCCCAAGAATTCGTATTTTTTTTTTAAATTTTTTTAATGTTTATTTATTTTTGAGACAGAGAGAGACAGAGCATGAACGGGGGAGGGTCAGAGAGAGAGGGAGACACAGAATCCGAAGCAGGCTCCAGGCTCTGAGCCATCAGCCCAGAGCCCGACGCGGGGCTCGAACTCATGGACCGCGAGATCGTGACCTGGCTGAAGTCGGACGCTTCACCGACTGGGCCACCCAGGCGCCCCCAAGAATTTGTATTTTTAACAAGCTCCCAAATGATCAATATGTCACCACTCTGGTGTGAATTTACACAGTCTTTTGGGGGAACTCCTGCATTACAATGCATCGTGTATTTTACATTACCGTATTTTAACATGCAGGTATTCATTACACCAAAGTTATTGTTTATCATTTAAAGTTTAGGTCTATATTATCCTGAATTGAAAGGAATATTCTTTTGGTTATATATTGTCACTGTCACTCTAATATCTATCAATTAGATTTTGAATCATATCGAAGTGGAGAGCAATTTGAGAAAAGTATATGCACCAGTATTTGAAGTGACTCTACGCTTGAGGTCTCCTGAAGAGAGTGACTCTTCAGAAACTTCCACAGAGAACTTTCAGGAGTCTGACAATGGCTCTGAAGAACCTGGGGTGTGTGAACAAGAGGAGGCACCAAAAAATGAAGTCAGTTGTGTCACAAAACAGTCGAGTGAAGAAATGCCAATGATGAAGAAACCAAAAAAAGTTTGTTACGACCTTGAAGAAATACCTTCAGGTAAGATGAGTGAGACTATTAAGAATGAAAGGAGATACGCTAACAGCCCGAAAAGAGCAAATGACAGAAAATTTTAGTAGTTTATCTATTATCGCTGACCGGCGATAATAAATATTAAGAAATAATATCATTTCTCGGCAGTATAAATGTTAAGAAAGCTCTAAGCACAAGCTCACATCATCTGTGGTGCATGTGAGCGATAACACCGTTACTCATTCTGGTCTCCTACACACACCATTCTCAGTCCTGGGGCCTGATGACCCCCTTCCTGGCAGTGAACACCCCTGCGTGCTTGTCAGAAACCCAGGCCCTCAGACCGCAGCTCGGCCCTCATTATCACAGTCCGGGGTGCGGTGGAGTGCTAGAATGCTACCTCTTAGGTGACCTTCCCGCGTATTCTCGGATGTCTGCAAAGCACTGCCACGTAGCAAGTGGTCACCTAGCTGGTTTAAATACCAATCAGTGTTTCATTCTCTCTTTTTTTCAATGGACTCTTGTAGACCTAGAAATCATGACCGAGTTCGAGAATAAATACATGTGTGATGAGTAAGTAGCAGACCTTTTTGATATTACAAGTAATTGTAGTCTCTGGTGGTTACTGCATTTTTCTGAAATATGCTTTTATTTTTTTTTTCAGGTTTTCAGAATTTGCTACAAATCTCTTCATAGTTCCCAACAGATTAGATTTTTCAAGAAAAATTCAAAATATGGTGACTGACATTGAAAAACATATAAGTAAGTGTTTTTGAAGCGTAGCTAGATACACTGTCTCCTTTGGGAATATTCTCTCAGGCTCAAGCATCTGATGTTCACACCCAGTGGTGGAGCACACACCACCGTCCATTGGGATCGGGAATGTGCAGTCTTTGGGATCAGTCAGTGTGAATTTGGGATTATTTGAGGATGTGTGACTTCTACACGTAACTGTAGAGTGCATAAAAGACGGGAATTAGGAAAACAGTGTAAGGTTTGGGTTTTTTATATACCACAGAATTTTATAAGACTTAACTAAGTTATATCTTATTAGCATAACAGATACTGTTTCCATCTGAAACCGATTTCGATCAGTCCTTTTCTAGTTCTGTGTATCCAGTCTGACACTACACAGCTATTACTAGCCTGGCCACCGAACGTGTCCCTTCCTCTCGGTCTGAGTCTTAAAACATCTTAAAACAGCAGGACCCGTGGCAACTCTTAGAAGGTGTATATTTCCTCTTGTTATTAGTCAATTTGGGGAGGGATATTTTGAGATTGTCGAATATCTTTTTGTTTCTTCTGAAAATTTTACCCCCTAATTTTAGCCTTTATTGGGGGATCTTATCACCTTAGCAGATCCATTTCTTTATTCAGTTATTTATGTAAATGTGGACTCACTGATCTACATTCACATTTGTATATGTTTGTATACACATGTGCATTTGTGTGCATGTAAACTTACTTGAGAAAAAAAATAAAAAATTTAAACCACCCCATCATTTCAGCTGCCTGCATATAACAACTATGTGTTTTCACATGGTTTCTGCATTTTTACCTTCATAAGCATACAAGAGTGAAACTTAGATTTAAAATGGTTTGTTATCAGGGTGCTTGGGTGGCTCAGTCAGTTAAGCATCTGACTCTTGATCTCAGCTCAGGTCATGATCTTGTGGTTTTGTGAGTTCGAGCCCCGCACGGGGCCGTGCGCTGACGGCTCAGAGCCTGCTTGGGATTCTCTCTCTCTCTGTCTCTCTGCCCCTCCCCTGCTCGCACTCTGTCTCTCTTTCTCAAAAATCAGTATTAAAAAAAAAACTTTAACAAAACATTTTCTTATCACTTAGTGTTATATTGGAGGCATTTTCCTCATTCTGCAGTCGCTCTCATAATTGTCACTTAGATGGCTAGATAATTAATACTCCCTTACACTAACGTGCCATAATATGTTTAACCATGCATGCAAAATCAAACGTGCTCATTCCTATACCCAGTCATGAAGTTAACGTCTGGCACATGGCTTGTGGCTTCCATGGGGTTCTTCTCAGACTAAGTCCACAGGAGCGGCACTGATGGGGCAGAAGTCTTTCTCGTACTGCTTGCTAGTTCTTGTGGGTTAAGAAAATTAACCCTTAATCTTTAATAGGAGTTTTAAGAAAAATGGGTCATTTGCCTTGATTTTATGGTGATATTTTTTCCTAAGCAGAACATTATTTTTAAAGTATAACATTTGTAGAGCCTTTGGAAAAAGGCTTCAGGGCGTGGTATCATAGAGACGCTTGCCCACATTATGAACACATATTATAAACAACATTCTCCTACTTGTCTTCTAATTATGATTTCATTTTTATGTTTAAGCTTTCGATTGCTCTAAAATGTATTTGCATACACAGACTTTTTCCCAAAGCACTAATTAGTGCTTTTTCCCAAAGCACTCATGATGTGTCTGTCCCAGTATCATTCGTTGAATAATCCATTCCTCACCCTCGCTGACTTGAAACGGCACTGTGATCATTTATTGCATTTTAGTATTTTATTTTATTTCATTTTTGGACTGTGTCTATAACTCGTGTGCCAGTACTGTGCTGTTTTAAGTATGTCACATTTTGCCCCCAGGGATTTCCTAGGTTCAGGGATATTTGTGTTAGTCTGGGGAGTGTAAAGAGAGTATTACTGTTACTTAATTTGTTGCTCAGGTTGGCCTTATTTTCAGAGAACTGCTCTTTCCGAATGGGCCCTGTGCCCTTTTGTGGAGAGCACTGTAGCTTCTTTGGGCACAGGAGGCTCACACCCGTCTTGTGTTTCCTCGGGGACAGCCGCGGGACGGGCTCATTGCGGGAGTGGGGCCGCTCAGAGGCCCATCAGTGAAAAGACCTAGAAAGTAACATGGAAAGTAACAGTGTAGTTACTGACTTGTTATGCAGGTAGAATAATGTCAGAATGGCTACTCTGCACCCGTTTGAGACGCAAATGTATCAACCAGAGTGTTTGTGGGCGTTTTTTTCCCCCCTCTGTCCTCAGAGTTTTCAGTCAAAACACTGCTCTCCAGAGTCTCCTTTGTTACCCCTCCTCTTGAGTCACTAGTAACACAGCAGGCTACTTTGTCACCATCCGTATTCGTGTTGGGTTCTCCCAGCATCCTGCTTGGCGTTTTAAGACCTACTACGTCACTCTGTGCGCCATGCAGTTTGTGGGTTTTGACAATTACGTATCCGCCATCCAGGTTCCATACAAAACCACTCCATCACGCCCAGGTTCCCTGGTGCTGCCCCTTCGTGGTTGGACCCTCCACACCTCTTATCCCTGGCAACCGCGGATCTGTTTCCTGTCTTTATAGTTCTGCCTTTTCCAGAAGGTCATACAAGTGGATGCGTAGGTAGCCTTTTGGTCTGGCTTTTTTCACTTAGAAAGATGCATTTCAGATTCATCCATCTTGCTGTGGGGGACAGCAGCCTTACTCCTCTTCATTGCTGAGTCCTAGTCTACTGTCTGGATATACCAAAGTTTCTTTCTGCAGTCACATCTGGGTCGTTTCCAGTTTGGGGCAATTATGAATAAAATTGCCGTAAACATTCACATACGGGTTTTTGGACAACGTAAGATTCCTTTTTTCTTGAGTTGATAACCAGGGGTGGGTTTGCTGGGTCATATGGTAGGTGTATGTTTAATTGTATGAGAATTGTAACGTGGTTCTATCATTTTGCATTCCTGCCAACAATGTATAAAGCTCCAGTTGTTATGCCCAGAATTCGCGATCCCCAAATACCGCCAGGGAGCCGAGTCCGATGCAAAAGCAAAAGAGCCTTTATTCGAGCTAGCTCGAGCTCAATCCCCTACCTGCACCGACGCGGCGGTGAGATACCACCGGGGAGAGAGAGCGAGTTTCAAAAGCACAAAGGTTTTATAGGGCTCTAGGGGCAGTTGGTGAGGTAATGGCTGTGGCCTCAGCCGATTGGCTGGGGAAGGGTCGTGGCCTCGGCCGATTGGCTGGGGAAGGGTCGGAGTCCTGTTACGCAGGTCGCTGGACGTGTTTTGATCAGGAAGTTTGAACGGGTGAGCGGGAGGTTACTCAAGGGGAGGAGGCGCGGTCTGAGGTTTCTGCGATTTTCCCGGGAAAGGGGTCATGTCGGGGACATAGTCACTCAAGGTGGAGGACACAGAACAAGATGGAGTCGGCCGGCATAGGCTCGCCCTTTCACAGTCACTCTGTATCCTTGTCACCTCTTGGTATTGTCAGATTAAAAAAAAAAAAAAGTAGCCATTCTGGTAGGTTGTAGTGGGTCTCATTGTGGTTGTATTTTGTTTCCCTGTTCATCTCTTCATGAGCTTATATGCATATGCTTGGATACATTTTTTGTGGTCAGATCTTTACATCTTTTGCTTATTTTCATTAGGATGTTTGTTTCCTTATTGTTGAGTCGTGAGAAGTCTTTATATGTATCGTCGCTACAAGTCTTTCATGAGATACAAGATTTGCACACATTTTCTCCCAGTCTGTGCCTCATCTTTTCATTCTTTGTCACAGAGGGAACCTTCTGAACTCTGATAAAGTACGGCTCACCACTTTTTTTCTATTACGGGTTATGTTTTGTTGCCTGCAAACTCTTTGTCTAGCTCACAGCCAATATAGATTTTTCCTGTATTTCCTCTTGGAATATTAATAAAGTTGTGCTTTATATTTAGGTATATGGCTTATCTTGAGTTAATTTTTGCATAGTGTGTGAAGTGTAGGTTAAAGTTTTGTGTTTGTTGCTTGGTTGGTTTTTGCCCATGGACACCCGGTTTTTCAGCTTGTCTGTGAACGCACTGGCGGTGAAGCTTTGTCTCCTGTTCATCCCCTCACTGTGCTGGTCTAATGCTCTCCACGTGGCATCACATAGCATGGGCATTCCAACTATTTCTTAATGACTTTTCTTTGCTTCTATTTAATTATGCCTCGCCCCAACACCACCCAGTATCTGTGAGTGGTTCTGTTGTTTCCATAATATTAAACCCAAACTTTTACACTGTCTTAAATTCCATTTATCAGTATAGAATACTATATAGCCCTCATAATAAATTAGCCTCAGTCCAGTGGTTTTAGATGTCATGGATAATTTTAATGTGTTGTTTTCAGTGGGACATCAGAAAATACTAACTTTCGACTTATGTATTTTAGCCAAGATTATTCCTCTTTGCCAAGATCCCCGCCTGTCTGTCTTTACTGAATCGGTTTTAATTGTGAATTTACCTAATAAGACTGAAAGTGGCATTGCCTGTAAGAAGACAACCAGATGGCCAGATTGTCAGGTTCTTTTTGAAATGGATCCTACCTACCAAAACAAAGTGAGTTTAAGAACGATTTGTCTTAGGGAATACTGGGCTGATTCTTAGATTAAAGGGATTTATTGAAAAATTTGAGCATCCTAACTTAGGACAATTGAAATGCTACTTCTGTCTTCTCCCCCATCTGTCCCGCTCATGTGCTTTCAGCTCAGTTCTTCTCCTTTGTTCTTTTCCAACTTCCCCTCCGAAAATGAGCTTTCTGTTTTATGGTTCCTGCATGATCTTGACTTCCAGTCGTTGACCTGCATTGGCCCCTACATTCCCGTTGCCATCTGGCTGGGTATTTTTGTTCAGATTTACAGGAGAATCTAATTGTCTTCACTTGGGTCAGATGATTCCTCGTCCAATAGCTGTGTCTTGGGAGAGTTCACACAGTATATAGAAGTGCCCTGGTGCAAGGCTGTGCACAGTGTCTATTCTGAAGTGGGGCCAAGCGAGGGAATGAGTGATTGGTGTTTCTAGGCCACGGCTCAAGACAACATGCTGACGATAAAGATAAATGGCTTGGTAGGCCTTTTCAGAAACACCACATATTTAAAAGGCTATCTTAATTTCTTAAAGTCTTATGTTTCCAACATAGTTCTTTAGTGTAGGTTCCCAACAAAATGAACTCCACAAAAAAACTATGGTTTTAAATATCTTAATAGAACTATTAGCCCCTTAGAGCACAAGTTTTTTACTCTTAAAATTCTGACTTTCTGACATTTTTATTTACAGATTGCCAGTCTCCTGACTATTATTGGTAACTCAATGGGCCTGGTTAGTGCTTACAGCTGCCAGTTTAGAAAATACTGTACCATCGTACAGAGTGCCAAAGTCATGAGTATGAAAATGTCCTCTATGGAAGAATTAACTCCAACACAGTTTAAAACTATACTAGCTAAATTCAGAAAGTATCTGAAACACATTGTCAGCATGGTCATTGAGAAACGCATTGGTATTTTCAATGTTACAAGTCTCGATTATCAGTCAGAATGCTTACCATATGTTGAGAATGTCATACGTCTGAGTCACGACCTCCTGCGATCTGTAATTGAAAACAAGAGCACAAATCTATTAGAAGTAAGTATTTTTGGAAATGCCTCTTGCGTGAGAGTCTTTATGATTATCAGGTTATGATTTTAAAAGACGTGCTTCGGAAACACACTTGATGAGCGTTATCCTCAGAAATGTGATACGTGTTACATTTGTTTGGGTCTTTGATCAGATGTCATTTCCTCAAAGAAACCTCCTCCACCGTCTCTAAAATTGCACCCCACGTTTTCCCGTTTTTCCTGCTGGGAATCGTTGCAAGATTATAAATGTGAAAACGACATGATGCCACTTTCATTTCTGCAGGGACCACTCTGGGATTCAGGTAGGATGAGACGGGAGGAGAGTGGTTTCTAGACTCTAGGGGAGAGGTGATGAGCGCTCAGACAAGGGCAGTAGCAATGTGGAGTCTGGGGAGCAGAGGGAGTTGAGATCTATTTCAGAAAGAGAATGGACAGGTTTAGTGATTGGCAGAATGTGGGAATAGGAGAAAGTCAGGAATTAATGACACCTGCAGCGTGTTGGTTAGGCAGCGGGGTGGGCCGTGGGGCGCAGGAGAGGGAGCACCGCGCTTGCTTCACGGGGCCGTCCTCAGGTAGAGATGTGCACGTGTGTCTGTCCGGCCAGCAGGAGGGGGTCCGGACGGGAGCGCACATTTAACAACCGGCATCCAAGCGGTCCTAGAGGTCGTCAGAGTGAATGGGAATGCCCCGGTTATGTGTGTGGTGACGATGGAAAAGAGCCTCCAGAACATCCATATTTAGGAGGTCGTTAGAGGAAGGGGAGCCTGCAGGGTGACCGGAGACATGGGGAAGCAAGGGAGTGTCTGCAGAAGGAGGGAGCGTCTAGTAGTTGTTAAATCCGTGAAGAGCCAAGAGGATCGCAAGTGTCCGTTAGACCAGAGGCACTGTGTGCTGTGTACGTTGGGGTTCCCGTCATCTTTACAACCACAGCAACCCTGAGACTCATAGGAAGTCACTTCTGGCTCACTCGGGGCCGAATTCCCCCAACAAGGATCCAAAAGCCCCCCCGAAGGCTATTAAACGACGGGTTTCTCTGTCTCGTGCGCAAAGAAGTCTGGGTGCCAGTCGCCCAGGCCGGTCCGATGGCCGCACGTGGCCAGGAGCTCGGCGTCTTGGCTCTTTCCGCTCGGCTCCCGTGGCGGGGACTGCTCCCCTCGCGCCGCGCCCTCCCTTTGGCAGAAATTCGGGGAAGCGGCAGCAGCGTGGTGCATGTGGCTGCACGTCCCCGTGCCGCCTCCGCCTCCGCCTCCGGCTGCAGAGGGACCTGGCCCGGTGGGCGTGTCTCGGGCTCCTCTCCCCTGGCGGCGGAGGGAGGCAGGCCAGGGAGGGGCGGCTTGAGCGTCGGGTCTGCCAGTTCACAGCAGCGTCTGCGCACTCGACCCCTTGGCTGTCCGCACCCTTCTTCCCATGTATCCGGGTTTAGGGGACACAATAAATGTTCCCGCGCTGGGAATAAATCTACCCGGCTGGGCACTGAGCCAGCTGAGAAGCAAGACAAGGTACGGCAAAGGGAGATGAAAATAGTTCCTTTGTTCGCTGTCGGCTGACGAGGTGGACCTTGGGGCAGGTGGCTTCCATCTGTTTGAAATTAGCCCTCCCCGAACTGAAGGTCAGAATGAGGGAGAGACTCGGCCCGCTCGGCACCGGCTGCCCTGGAAACTTTGGCCAACCCCTGGCCTTGTCCAGCAGCGAGCAGAGGGGAGCACGTGGCCTTGGTGGGGCAGGCTGGCTGGCTGAGAGGAGGTACCTGTACTGAGCCTGGCGCTCCCTGCCCCCGCGTTCGGCGGGACTCACTCGGCTGCCCCAGGACGCGGGTGCGAAGCGGTGGGACACCAGGGGGCGAGGCGAGCGGGGCTCCCTCCTGTGGACACCTGAGAGGTAGGGGTGACTGTGGGCCCCACGCCACGTCCGGCCCTCCTTATCAAGTGCAGCCTGGCCGCTTAGCGTTCTGGTGATCCGTAAACAAAGACCAGGCTGCAGCCCCCCGGCCCGGTGTAAGATGGTGAAGGGACAGGGTAGCTGTAATTAAAACTTCCCTCCTATAAAAAAAAGAAAATGGAGAAGTAGCTATCTTTAGTGGTCTGCAGCTAATACCAAATCTTGGTGGACAGAAGGGACAAGAATTTGCTTCTCGGTAGACTAATTTCTGTGCTTAGTCAGTCTGGCAGCCTTCCCCTCAGATCTCGGGGGAAATCTCCGTCTCTTGTCCCCTGCGGCCCCGCTTGCGCCCGTAGTGTATCATTCTGCGTGACCCGCCCCATCCGAGCCGGGCATTGGTGAGGTTGTGCTTGCTGGGCACTGAACAACTAAGGCAAGGGCATGAGTTTGGACACCTGGGTGGGCCTTAGGAAGCATCACTGATGACTATCAGGCTTGGACTTTTTTTTTTTTTTTTTTTAATGTTTGTTTATTTTTGAGACAGAGACAGAGTGCAAGTGGGGGAGGGGCAGAGAGAGAGGGAGACACAGAATCTGAAGCAGGCTCCAGGTTCTGAGCCATCAGCACAGAGCCCGACGCGGGGCTCGAACTCATGAACCATGAGATCATGACCTGAGCCGCACTCGGATGCTCAACCGACTGAGCCACCCAGGCGCCCCAGGACTTTCTTCCTTAAATACTTTTTCCCTATCTGCTTCTGGTTAATTGCATACAAGTCCAGGTGTGATTTTTAAGCCTGACACCTTTTTCTATTTAGCTGCTGTCTGTGCTGCACACTTCCCCATCCCCCCTAAAGGTACGGTTCTGTGTGTGGCGCTGTTTGGAACATGGACTTGGGGGGAAAGTTACGCCCTTACTAGTCCGCCAGCGAGCTGTCTGCCAGTCCTGTCGTCCCACCTTCGGTGAGGGTGCTCGGTTAAGGCAGGGCTCTAGTCACCTCTCCTGCTAAGGCCACCACTGAAGCCGCCTCTTTCATTGAGAGCTCAGAAGCGGTTAGCTGTCTCAACTTCTACGGCCTTTGACTTCAAGAATCCCCAAGTCGACTCTGTGCAGAAGGCAGAAGAAGATTTTCTTACCAGAGCTGCGGTTCCCTCAGTCTCTGCCCAGCTTCGTGTGGCTTGAGGTCATCTCCCGGGGTTTCACTGAAAGTAACAGAAGAGACAGCACGCGATACCAAGTTTTCCTACTATTCGCCCGAAGCTGTGGCTTTGGTTAGCACACGGGATCAGCCCCAAGAAAGAGCAGGCACCATCGTGACCGCCATTTTGCCACCACCGGTAACAAACGCAGCTTCCCAAAAGAAGGCAGTCACCAGATTCAAGTGTTCCCAGCGTCGCCGTCCTCAGGGAAGTCAAATCCACAGGGAGGTCCCACCGCACTCCCGTTTCAACGGCTACAATTGAAAAGGCCGACAATAGCACGTTCTGAGGAGGACGTGGAGGGACCAGAGCTTCCAGCCGTTGTTGGTGAGAACGAAGCAGGTGCAGTCACTTCGGAAAACTGGCCCTTTCTTATAAGGGGACGTGTTCACCGACCACTGGACCCGGCAGTCCCACGGCACGTCGTTTACCGAACAGGAATAAAAACAGGTCCACACAGAGACTTTGACTCAAATACTCGCAGAAGCCTCGCCCACAAGTACCACACCACAGCCTGTAGTGAATCCAGATTCCCCGCAAGACGTGAGCAGAGAAAAGGCGGCACATTCGTGCGTGGGCATAGCGTTCACTGGGGAAGAGGAGCTTAACTCCCCCTAAGTGTGATTTGGATGAATCTCAAAAATACGTTGACCGAAAGAAGCCAGACACGAAGGAGTGCCTGCTGGACAGCGCCGTGTGTATGTCACGTGACAAGTCCGAGTTTACCCGTGGTCACAGCAACCAGAGGTGGCTGTGTGAGGCCAGGGGCAGGAGAAGATTGGGATGGGGCCCGAGGGGTCTCAGGGCAGTGAAAGCTTTCTATGTTTTGATTATGGAGGTAACTACACAGGTGCATAACTGTGTTAAAACTCACTCTAACGTTCAGTTAGCATCTTTTATATGTAAATTTTGCTTCACCTGATTTTTTTTAAAAAATCTTGGCCTTTCCGTTTCCTATGTGGAAGACCTTAGATAATATCCTTATTCTCACCCTACCTCAGTTTCTTTATCTGTAAGTTGGGGATAATATTGGCCACTCACCTGGAGAGGTTGTAGGAGTGAAATCAGGTACCGGTCAGAAAGCTCTCAAACGCTTCCGGCACACAACCCTAAGACACACGTGAGCCTCCACAAACCGCATCTCTGCAGCTGGAAGAATCAGGGTTTTTTGTTCCAGAAAACTCTCTGAGTTGTAATTGGTTTAGGAACCTGTTCTGAAAGTCCTCTCCGTTCATCCTCTCTCTGGCTCCTGCGTGCTCCCTGGTGTGTTTTTATTTATTATTTATTTCCTGAGGCTTCGGGTAGCTTCCTTTGATGTGGTTAAAGCAGTTCCCCTATCTGGATGAGAGTTCCTCATCTGACACGAGTAATTTTTACCAGAAATGAATTTTATCAGATGCTTATTCTGCATCTACTGACATAATCATGCAGGGTTTTTTCTTTAAGCCTTTAATGTGGTTGTTGCATTAATTGATTTTCTTAGGTCGCTCTTGCCTCCAGACTGCCTTAGCGGCCAGCGTGCACGTACGCGAACTTTATATTTTTTAAAAATTTTTAAATGTTTATTTACTTTTGAAGGAGAGGGAGACCGAGCGCGAGTGGGGCAGGGGCAGAGAGAGAGGGAGACAGAGAATCTGAAGCAGGCTCCAGGCTGCAGCCCAACGTGGGGCTCGAACTCACAAACTGTGAGATCATGACCTGAGCTGAAGTTGGACACTCAACTCAACTGACTGAGCCACCCGGGCTCCCCTACAGGCATTGTTTTTAGGACTTTTGCATCTATTCCCGTACGTGAAATTTGTCTGTGACTTTCCTTTACCATCCTTATCGGTCTCTGATATCAGTGTCCTACTAGTGACATGAAGGAAGTTTAGGTATATTTCACCTTTTCCTGCCCTCTCTTGCGCAAAATTGGAATTATCTGTTTTCTTTGTGATACAAATCTGCATTTTAAAGTGTTTCTTTTCTCTGGCCTTTAAATGGGATTTGTGGGTAAAGTCAAGATAGCTGTGTTCACTCGGTCTTTTGTTTTGAACATTTTCAGTCAAATGTGGAAGTTTTATCCTCAAAACTATAGATGAAGACTCCAGGTTTATTAAGGTAAAGCTACTTGCTCAGGGTCACACAGTTAGGAAGTGCTGGAGCTGGGATTCAGACACAAGCCTCCCTGTAAAGCCTGTTCATGTGAACTGCTGGTGGGTTAGCAGTGGTGACCTCTGAGTGATGGCGTAATAGGGATTTTCTCTTTTAAAAGCTTTTTTGTATTGCGTGTTTTGTACGAACATCTATTTGACGATCAAAGAGAATATAGTGCTTGAAAAATTAGACACATACAGTCAATTAATTCAAGCCTGTGAGATTGAAAATGGAAATGACATTGCTTCCCAAATCACGCATGAGTATTCATTAAGAGCCTGGAAGTAGGAGACAAAAATAAAAATTGTCATGTGAGTATAGAAATGCAATTATTTTGAAAGTTTCACGGAATGATATACATACACTTAGGAGAAGTATTGATGTTATGCATATAATTATAATGAATACTTATAACGGATAAAAATAGGATTTGGAGTCATGTTTGGGTGAATCATAGCTCTGTAACTCACTACACCTTTGCCTGTAGTGAGGTCAAAATTGAATCCCTCTGAGACTCATTTCCTCCTGCATAAACTGGAGAAGACAACACCGAATGAACCAACACGCGATCAGAGCAAAGCGGGATCACGTATATAGAGAGCTGGAATGTACACGCTCCAAACGTGGTAGCAATTCCGCGTTATCCCGTGGTGGCCAAACCCTTCCCATCGTTGTTGCGTTCATTTCTTAGGGACAGAATTATTCACAACATTACTTCCTTTATACCTTAGCGTTTATTTTATATGCAGGTACCCTCACGTTCCCTCTATTAACAATAGAAAGGATTTGAGCGTGTTCACGCTCCAGTGTTTAAACACTATCTAGAATAATGTCTGGATGATGTCTTCGTTTTCTTGTGAAATTATAATTCTGTAAGGTAGTGACAGATGCTAAAAGAGTAATCCATCTTCTAAAACCGTGAACAGTCCTTCTGTAATGACAATTGACGTGTTAATGATCCAGGTTGTGGAGGCCTCACTGAGGAAGATGGAGTGCGATCCCACTGAAATTGAAGAATTTGTGGAACATTTTGCTTTTTTGGAGGGGATTTCCTCAAAATTGTCTGTGTTAGAGAAAGAACACTCTGTCGTTGCTCAGCTGCATTCTGTTGTAAGGTATTACCAGGTCCAGATTTCAGGAGAGCAAATTGCCATCTATAAAATTCTTCTCGTCAAGTTTGGGCAGCTAAAAACCTCCATGCAGTTAAGGGAGATGAATAAAGACGCCGCTATTGCTAAATTCAGAGACAATCTGGAAGCTCACATCACGGGTCTGCGAGTTGACGTCAGCAACTTGAAGGCCAAGGTCAGTGTGTGTTTTTCATCAAAAATCAGCTGGTTCTTTCCCGTAGGCCTAGTAAGCATAGCGGCACTTGCTGCCTGCAGAATCTTAGGTAAATAATTTAATCCAAGTGTTCCTCACCCAGACTCCGCAGACAGCACGTTGGTGACTTGTGAACCTCAATGGGAGGAAAAATTGCATGTCTGTTTTCACGAACCCGTAACTGACATTTAGCATTGTCTTCGGTGATGAACGCATGCAGACCACGAACAACAGCACAGTGGTGACTTTTTCCGTAGGATTCATCGTTCTGCCACACGAGGCCCCTGGCCCAAAGGGCTAGACCCGTGAAGTCTCTCTGGGCCTCATTCCAGGCCGGCGGTAACGAGCGCTACAACTTGAGTCACTTCAGAGGAGCAAAGCGTACGATAAACACCCTCCCCGAGTGTCAGAGGTGCTGTGTGCCGCGTGCTTTACGCCTGTACCTGCCTGCAAATAACAGGGAGATTTAAGGAGGTCTAGTAACTTGCTGAAGGTCACACAGCAAGTCCGAGCCAGGCTCCGGAGACCGTGCTTGTGTGCACCCCTCTGCCCTCAGCACCACCCCAAGTTGTGAGTCCCATACTGACCGTGCCTCGGGCACAGTGTCACTCAGTGAGATTATGCCTGTTCAGTTTCTCCACCTACATGGGCGATCTGTACTGTTTCACACAGACACGGGAAGGTGCAACACATTCCTCACGAAGGTGCTTGGTGCACACATCCCACCTACGGTCTTTCAGATATGACTGAGGGGCTCTTGGGGGCTCAGGTGGGCGACTGACTTTAACTTTGGCTCGGGTCCTGATCTCCGGGCCCGTGAGTTGGAGCCCCGCATCGGGCTCTGGGCTGACAGTGTGGAGCCCGCTTGCGATTCTCTCTCTCCTCCTCTGTCCCTTCCCCTGTGCGCTTATTTTAAATAAACAGTACTCGAAAGTTACAGGCCCTTACACAAGTGTCCGGTTTACACAATTCACATTTGTTAAAGTGTGCAAGGTGGGACACCCGACCGAGACCGGGGCCTGTGTTGCAGGTCGTGTGCACCAGTGAGCAGAGCTGAGCTGAGCAGGTACCGACCTGTCTCCACCAGACACACGGGGTGGGGCCTCCTTACCGCCTTCTGACTTGAACTGTAACATTTCACACAATTTACGTACCTGAGGGCTGAGGTCCCTCTGTGAAGATCTCAGTTGGAAAAGGCAGCAGACGGGGCTGCAGAAACCGACCGCCTGTGGGCCAGGAAGACCCTTTCTCCAGCTGCCTCTCCCAGGGGTTCCTCATTGACAAACACAGATGAATGTTCACAAATGGGAAAGTATGGGAGACGCCTAAGGAAAACTTTATTATATACGCATGACACGGGCATCCCTCTTACAGAGTACATATTAAGCTCTATCCATTAT